GCATATTATTACGAAGATCCGGAAGATTTCCGAGTCGTTGGGTGCTTCGTTGTATGGGGTTGATGAGAATAGTGAGTTGCGAAGGGATCAGATTCATGAGGTGAACACGCGGTTGGGGGATGTTGGAAATGTGCTGCGGAACACGAAGAATACGCTTGATGCGGAGCTTAGGCAGATTGCTCGCTCACTGGCTGCTTGGATGATTATCGTCAAGAAGGAGAAGGCTGTGTACGACACGCTGAATCGGTTTTCTTACGACCAGGCGAGGAAGACGCTTATTGCTGAGGCGTGGTGTCCTACCAACTCGCTGGGATTGATCAAGGCGACTTTGCAGGATGTCAATGATCGTGCTGGTCTTACTGTGCCGACGATTATCAACCAAATCCGGACGAACAAGACTCCTCCGACGTACATGCGGACGAACAAGTTTACCGAGGGTTTCCAGACAATTGTCAACGCGTATGGTATTCCCAAGTACTCTGAAGTCAACCCCGCGTTGTACACTGTGGTTACCTTCCCGTTCATGTTTGCTGTCATGTTTGGTGACTTGGGTCACGGTCTCTTGATGACGCTTGCTGCAGCTGCCATGATTCTGTGGGAGCAGAAGTTGCTGAAGACCAAGCTCGATGAACTGTCCTACATGGCGTTCTATGGTCGTTACATCATGTTGATGATGGGTCTGTTCTCGATGTACACTGGTTTCCTTTATAACGATATTTTCTCCAAGGCGTTCACCTTCTTCCCCAGTCAGTGGCAGTGGCCGGACGACATCCAGCGGGGTCAGGCTGTTGAGGCAACCCTGAAGGATGGATACCGGTTCCCGATTGGATTGGACTGGAACTGGCACGAGGCTGAGAACTCGTTGCTGTTTTCCAACAGTATGAAGATGAAAATGAGTATTGTTCTTGGTTGGGCGCATATGACCTACGCTCTTTTCTTGCAATACGTCAACGCTCGCCATTTCAAGTCCAAGGTCGATATTATTGGTAACTTCATTCCGGGATTCATCTTCTTCCAGTCAATTTTCGGGTACCTTGTCTTGACTATTGTTTACAAGTGGTCTGTTGACTGGGCGGCTAAGGGGCAGTCGCCCCCTGGTTTGCTGAACATGCTAATCTTCATGTTCCTGTCTCCCGGCACGGTCGAGGAGCCGCTGTACCCCGGCCAGTCCGGCGTACAAGTTACCCTGCTACTGCTTGCTCTCGTCCAAGTGCCGCTCATGCTCTTCTTCAAGCCCTTCTACCTCCGCCGTGAGAACGAACGCGCGCGTGCCCAGGGCTACCGCGGTCTCGGCGAACCCGCACGTGTCAGCGCGCTAGAAGACGACAACGGTCGCGACAGCATGGCTAGCGAAGGTGACGGTACCAACGAAGGCACCGCCATGATCGCGCAGGACCTCGACGCTGACGACGAAGAGCACGAAGAATTCGATTTCTCCGAAGTTATGATCCACCAAGTTATCCACACCATCGAATTCTGTCTCAACTGTATCTCCCACACTGCCTCCTACCTACGTCTCTGGGCCTTGTCCCTGGCACATCAACAACTCTCTATCGTCCTGTGGGACATGACCATCGGCGGCGCGTTCGAGCAGGAAGACCCCACGATAAGAATAATTATGATCGTGGTTACGTTCTTTATGTGGTTTACGCTGACGATTGCCATTCTGTGTGTGATGGAGGGAACCAGTGCGATGTTGCACTCATTGCGTTTGCACTGGGTTGAGGCTATGAGTAAGCATTTCCATGGTGAGGGCATTCCGTTTGTGCCGTTTAGCTTCAAGACTTTGCTTGAGGAGGAGCCGGTTGACTGAGCTCTCCTTGTATTTGTTTTTGGACACTCTTTGTACTTTTCTTTTCATAGGTGGATTGGAATTGATTTCTCTCTCAAAATTTGATTTTATAACGTAGTCACTATAGTTTATTCAAATCACAAGCAAAACAAACCCAGTAAACCCTAACCATCACACCACACTACACCACAGCCAAACGAATAATTCTTAACCTCACCACCACCAACAAAATGACTCAAACTATCGGATACCGATTTAGCAGACAAGAAGATCCAAGAGAATAAGTTTCTATCTTCTCCCATAGATATAATTCTTCGTCGCACGATTTAGAACATGGGTAGCTAGATTTCAGTTATCAAAAGAGTGATTCAGCATTTTCACTACCAAAATGGAACTTAAAACACCACAACAAAAGAGAGTGTCGCGCATGATCACAACCTGCATGGCATCGCGGGCTAATAAGTCCTGACAAGGGTATCTGGAACACCGGGACGAGATAGTTCCTCTGCTGATTGAGGTTGGAAACAGGCCATGGGTTATATGGTTGTCGGATAGCAACAGACGAGTTTGACTTTATCAATGCAGTTCCGGAGAAAGGGCTGGTGGAGTTCTGGCACAAGTTCCTCCACAACAAGGACATTAGATACAGTCCTTCTACAACATCTGAAAATCCATAGAGCAAGAGTATATGCAAAATGGCTGGAAGTCATAATATCAATCCACACTTCTAGTAGGAATAACTTTTCAACCATACATTCAGTGGAACCATTCTTGGGGACATATAAAAACTCATTGACTATACATTATAGGGACTATACATTTTATCTTGGAAAGGCACTGTTTTGTGTATTTATTTTAGCTCAAAAGTGTCATTGAGCTGATAGCCGCCGTTGGACTGACCGTGGGAAGCAAGGCGATGGGTGATTATTACTGTCATTCTCTTTCTATAAATGTGTATAGTGATTTTCAAGAATACAGGAGGGAACACCGTCGATTATTTTAAGTTAATGATCAACAATGATTGGCAGTCCTATGAGGGAATGGGATATCTCGCTCTCGAAGAGTAACGATTCAAAAACTTGATGACTTGAGGGTCTTCCGCGACTACATAGGCCCAGCACGGTGGAGGAGACTCGGTGTCTGATGAAGTCAATAGCCCGCACCAGGTCATCGAACGGGGACTCCTCACGAGCGGCAGTGACATCTAGCATAAACTGAAGAGCCGGCAGGCAATCCACAAGCGCTGTCGTCGTCAACACTTCGCGGGCCCGTGGACTGCTGTTTGGACGCGGATCGACACCGTGCCCAACGAGGAACCAGACGACTCTGGATTCACGCTCGCCTTCGCTGGGAAGATGGCTTTTCCCGTCGGAGAATTTATTCTTGTAGTAGTCGTGGTAGCTGATGACTTCCTTTATGCCGGCGTCATAGCGCAGCAAGGAGATCGAGCATTGCGATGGCTGCTTCGGTCTCGTCTGCGCTTACTGCTATGTTGAGGTAGGACATGTTGTATTTGCATTGGGATCACAGCCTTGATCGAGGAAAAATTGTACAACTGCTGTTCCGCCTCGGCTGGCCGCTCTTGCAAGTGCGTATTTGATGCTCTGATCATCTGGAGGCAGATCCTTGATATACCTGAGCATGTGCATTTCTCCGTCCGCTGCTGTCTCCAGCAGTCACAGTTGTTTGTCGAATTCGAACGATATACCATTAGCGCGCAATATTTCAATCAATCTCACCTTCCCCGAGCGGATGACTTTTTCGAAGCAGCGGGGGTACAGGTTCAGAGGGGTATCCTCTGCCGTTGCATTGATTCGGTGATCCTCAGTCAAGAAGTAATTGAAATATCGGAGGTCGTAAAAGGCTCATGTGCCTAGGGGCAGTGGAGGAGAAGCGTAGGAAGCTATAGAATATCTTCGGCGGCTCAGACCAAGGTCCCTGTTCAGTAGCAGCTCCACCATCTCTTTACTGCCTTGGTTTGTAGCCATATGGATTGGCGAGGGTCGCCAACGTCCGATTCTATAGACAGCCACCACATCCAAGCAAAAAGAGCAACGACTTTCTCCTGTCCCTTTTTTTATTGCTAAAGTCAGCGGTGTATCCGCTCCTGGCCTATCCTGTTGGAAGGCTCGTGAGTCCTAAGGCCTCGTATCTCCATGGATGCCTCTCTCAAGGATCTGTCGCACAATATCAATAAGCCCGGCTTCAGCGGCTGCCTCCAGAAGTATCTCACGGTCAACTTGGTTGGTATTGGACGTCTTTTCCTCGACATTGATGTGTTTGATGAGCAATTCTGTCATCGCTGTACCCTTTTCATCAGCCATATCACGCAAAAACCGCAGTGAATACTTTCCACAATTACCATGAGCAACAGGATCAGGGCGAGCCCCGTTCTTGAGAAGAAGCTAGAGAGCTTCTGGATCATGAACGAGGGTCAACAGACTATCATCCTCATCGTTCTGTTCTGCCCCAACGCTGAGCAAGAGCCAGATTATCTATGTGTGCTCAGACTGTAGCGCTTCAAACAAGGATAGGCGTTCCCCATTCCTGGCATTAACTATCCCCGGAAAAATTTTTTGGGCAAATAGCTGAACCACTTCTTCAAGCTTCCCCCATTTCGCTGCCCTTTGCATGCCCACAGTCAGACATTCCTCGTTCATCTCTCCGTGATAGATCCGTTCATCCGGGCCTCCCTGCTTCAACAGACATTGCAGTAGAGGTCCCCGGCAGTGAGACGACGCTAGGGTCCAAATATGACCACGCTTTTGTTCCGGGACTGTCACGAACTCCCTCTAAATATCCCAATGCGTACATCATTTCCAAAAGCCCATGATACAATCACAGGGGCCCAATCTTCATGAAGCTCGACGTCCAGCCCAGCTTTCTCCAACGCCTTCCGAGCAGTTACCATATTTCCAGTACGTATTGCCCAATGCAGGGCCCAGCTATCGCCGTGATCGGCATCGTATCGATATCTCCTAGTTCGTCGCACAAGAGCATTGATGTCGCACTCGTAGTGTAGAGTATCGGCGATAAAAACAACTCGATTGGTGAGACTGTAATTGTTGAATAACCACGAGTTATGCGGTCTTAGGAAATCTACTACTTATATCACGTGAAGATTGCATTAGACTGACTGCGATAGATGTCTATCAAGTGAGTTTAAACAGGTCTTACCAGATAAGGGTTTACGAATACTTGGAAACGATTGGCTGTAGTTCATGTATTGGTAGTACTATTTAATACAGGTAGAATCGTTCACTTCGTTGGTGAAACCGCAGAACTCCATCCGAACAGTCCAGACACCGAGACGCGCAAAGGAAATGAGAAAACCGTTTTGAACAGGACACAGGATTATTAGTATGCAATTATTTTAACCGTGGTGCTTCTTGTACATGTCGATGACCTTCTGGACCTCGTCTTTCGAGCCCAGGTAGACACCGCTGCGGTCGTGGATGTGCTCGGGCACGGCTTCAAGAAGACGTTCTGCCTTGGAGTTGACGGCCAAACCGCCTGCGTTCTCGAACAACATAGCCATGGGGGCACACTCGTATAAGATACGGAGCTTGCCCTTAGTACTCTTGGAGTCGGCGGGGTAGGCGAAGAGGCCACCGTAGAGAAGGGTACGGTATGCATCGGCGACCATGCTACCAATGTAACGAGCGCTGTATGGCTTCTTGCCCTCTCCGGGGAACTTGAGGGAGTGGAAGTATTCGTTCACCCAAGGAGCCCAATACATGCTGTTACCTTCGTTGACCGAGTAGATACTCTTCTTGGGAGGCATCTTCATGCTGGGGTGGGTTAAGATAAACTCTCCCAGAGAGTTTTCCATAGTGAAGCCATTGACATCACCGTCACGCATGGTGATCACCAGCTGAGCAGATGCACCATACATGGTGAATCCAGCCGAGATCATCTCCGTTCCAGGACGAAGGATTTCCTTGGCGGTAACCTTCTTGTTCGGACCGAGGACCTCGTCTGGCAGCTTGTAGATACCGAAGATTGTGCCAACCGAAACGCCAGCGTCAAGGTTGGAAGAACCGTCGATGGGGTCACAGACAACGGCGTAGCGGGCGTTGGGGTGTTCGTCGAAAATGATCTCTTGCTCCTCTTCCTCCGAGATGAGAATGCGGCACTTGCCAGAGCTCCTCATTGCAGAGACGAAGATATCATTTCCAATCACATCCAGCTTCTTCTGGTCATCACCGGTGGTGTTCGAGGACCCAGCCAGTCCAGTGAGGTTGATCAAAGAGGCACGACGGATGTAGTAGGCAATGGACTTGAAGGCGAACTGAAGGGCGTGGCAGAGGAGACTGTAGAAGAACAATCGGGTTAGATCTTTGTCGTGGCCCAATTCAAATTGGGAAGAGAAGATACGTACGTGAAGTCACCAGTGGCCTCTGGGGCCTTGACTTGTTGTTCAGTAAAGAATCTGGTGAGGGTGACGATGTCGGTGTTGATGTTCTCCTGGCCGACAGGAGGAGCGTCGCCGTTGTTCGCCATTGTGGGTGATAAGAGAGATGGAGTAAGGACAAATGGGAGAAGACGTGAGTATAGTTGAGAAGTAGGTGAAATGAAGAAGGAGCTGGGAGAAGTCGGAGGGTTATATATGAAAGTGAATACCTCGGTTTGACGGATTTCGGAAGAAGATGAAGGGAGGAGAAGGAGGGAAGGACGACCACGATTCCTGGTTAAGTATCCGTACCAGAGGTATGTGAGGACAACTAGGAGCTAGTACTCCGGAGTACTGCACTCAGGGATGATATCAGAACTCGTGGCAACCGGGCCAAGGCAGGAAGACACGCTTAACAAGCACCAGCACTGTCAATCGTCAATGGAGACTTCTTTTCTTCTCGAAATATCGACATTCCCCAATAATTGACGCCCATCCTCATCATAGTATTGGGCCAGTATATCCTGATGCCCGTGGGAAACGTCAGACCGGAGCAAACCGGTGACGCAATGGCCGTACTGTATGTATCCATGCTGTATCCTTACAGGCGGTCTCTACTGTAACCTACCGGCTTTTCGTCACTACCCGTTCCATATCCCCGCCCTAAGCCTAACCAGGAAAGTCGCCGGTTAGTTCTCTTGAATTTCCCGGCAACCCCCGCTATCTTGTGATCACTTGTAGATGGCACTTGGAAGGTATCAATTCAATTGTTTACAAGAGCATTCCTATTGAGCACGAACGGTACTGTATACCGCCCCTATTCTGTGCCCCATAACGAAAACACATCCCTTTCATTAGACAGTGGGCTGCAAAGGGTCAGCAGACATGCACATTTTTTCTCTCAAAGCCGTCCACCTGGAACTATTGGGGTCTCGCCAGAAATCGGCTTTAGTCAGGTTGGTCACGCGCAGGCGGGAAAATGATTGTCCTGCTTGATCGACAATTGTCCTTTTTTCGCCGGTCAGCTGACCTTTCCCAGGATATAAAAAGCAAATGCCATATTGCTTATATAATGCTTTACCATTCTCGGTTAATGTTGAGGCTCTAACTAGGCTAAACTACTTCAAGCTAGATTATCGGTAAAAACTAAATCCGCCCGGTGGAGAGAGCTTGAAAAAGATCGTGCAGAGAATTTTTCTTCTGAACTTTCACTTCCCACAACAGAGAAAAATCCTCCGATTTCGAGGATCAACAAGGACATTATGCTGTTCTTTCAACAAAATCTTGCTCAATCGCTCTGCTTTGTTGATACTAACACAGTATTGGTAAGTTCCTTCGTAATTAACCCCTCACCCAGCATGATGACACCCATAACCAAACAAACTAGAGTCTTTGACCTTTCGGGGCGTGAAAACTCTGTTATTTGCACGTCAGTCTGATTGATCATCATTCGCATTGCATTTGATCACTTCTGGGATTTGGGCTTGAAGCTAACGTTCCTGTTAAGATTAACAGGTCGTGTTTCGCATGAGCGAACAGAAAGCACAGCACTTGCTATTTTGGTAGGTCTCACTTTTTCTTTATGTTTTTGCAATATTTTTGAATGATGACCTTCGTATTTAAATACGCTGGAAATTACCGACCGAGACCTTCGGGTCACCGACGATACAAATTGGCTGTTGTCTGACAAACCTTGAATTCTTCTATTTTATCTCACAATGCCTAGCCTATGCATTTGCTAACTTTGTGCAAGACTTTATAGGAATACAAAACTCGTCCATGCTCAATCGCTCCCAACAGTCAATGGTAAGCGCCTCGACTACCCTTGGCACCTCCGAATCTTCCAAAGATGAAACGGCACTGGGCTCCGACGGCGTCCTGACAGGCGACCGGTCGTGATGGATATGCCTATTTGCGGCAGGCCTAGAAAACCTCGCCCACTGAGAATATTTCGATAATCTCTATGACACTGAGTGTTATGTTTTGACATGATCCTGACTCTCGAATAGTAGTTGTCCTGATTGATGAATGACAATCATTGGTAGAAGCTGTCCGAAAGGTAATTCTTCCCACATTTCTTCCATGCCCAACCTACCGTGATGATTCCCTAGATGACGAGTCTTATTCGAGTTATCGATGCAGACAACATCCTTTTTTTAACCATTCATGCTTCTCTGACATCCGTCTATTCGATTTCTGCATTGCCTTGCGACTAGTTGTCAGTTGCTAACTTGCTTGCAGTGATGTAGACTTCCCTTAACAACATGAAATGTCTCTGCAGCCTGCATACAAGTGTATGTACCTGTCGAGTTCCTTTTCTTGCACTGTATTACATGATGAATCGACATTACAACAAAGACAAGCATATGTCCAAGTCGACGTCAGTTGACCAGGACGACACCGTCATACCTGACCAATCGAAATATCTTGTTTCCACTGCTATACTCGACAAGTCTCGATGCTGACTCTGTTCGCAGAGATTTGATTCTCATAGGATGAACTAACCGTAGGCAGCGTTTTTGCTGTCTGCCATCTCAATTGTGAGTGACATTCCCGTCTCCCATTTGCACTCCCCCCATTTCAATGATGATTTACTTTAATTTAATCACGACGGTCAACATAATCATTTTCATTGATGACCACTGCCTGTGACAGGGCATTTATCTGACAATTCCTATTCTACTCTGCACTCGATCAGTTATCACATGTCAGTGGGATAAGTGCTAACGTCGACTTAAGAACAGATTCCGAGGTTAGTCCATGACTCCGCGAGTCGTGCATTGCATCCATGAACGGCACCGGAGCGGCCGGTGGGCCGCTGTCGAATCAAAGTATCGCAAGATATGTCAGTACTAGTATGGAGTTGTCTCAAGTTTAGATAGAACCAAAAATAGCATCTTGGTGACTTAGTACATGACTTTCCTGTCCGTTCCACGCGGTGTAGGCCGACATTGTCCTGTGAGGGACCGTGTTTAAATAGCCCTATCTGCCAATCCTTAATCGTTTGGGCTGAATGACCGATCTACGCCAATCTTTACCGGTACCAAGAAACTCCTGTATTGTTTTTTGGCCGTGTGTTCTAGCCATTCACAATTGATGACTGGGAGCGTTGGACCGGGATAGATGTGATGGCGCTTGGGGCTGACCTGTGAGAGGGCGAGGATTAAGCGCCTACTCCCACGCCGGGTGTGACGAGCGGCGTTGGCTGCATGTGCAGAAGCCAATTAGTCTCTCTGGGCCGGTCGGGGTTTGTTGCTTTTCTTTCCTTCCCGTGTGCTATTCTTCCTTTTCTTTTCTGGTGGTTTATTTTTATCGCATTCCTGGTCGGTGAATCCTACGAGTTATATCCGTTTACCGGCCGATGGGTCACTCCTGCAGTTGCAAAGAATAGAAACAACTGAATTTCTGGCTCTTTCGCGCTTCCCTGTCCATTCATCCTTTGTCGCGTCTGTTGGAAAAATTCCCAGGGAGTGTTGGCTACTCAGTCTGCCTCTCGCAATTTCCTGCGCGCGGCTTTGAGGAAGCCATGCCTGGTCCCCTCATGATATTGCCGCCAGTATGAATAGGTGCGCAGCCCCCTCCCCCGCGCATCTGTCATCCAGCCCTGCCTGTCGGTTCGATTTACAACTCTCGGAGATACTGACTGGCCCTGTCTGTGCAGCTGGTTTTCGTCAAGCAGCAACGTTGGAGAGGCTCACCATTCTCGCAGCGGCTGGTCGTCCACTCCCACCGGCACTGTCAGCAATCAGCCATCTCCGAGTCGCCGCGAACATGCGGTGCAGCCTCCTCCTCTTACGACAGCATTGAGTGGTCATCAGTTCCAGGGGTTGGGTGTTGCTTTGGGTTCGGGCTACGCCTCGACTCCTTTGTCGACCACTTCGCTTTCCAGTCCTTTCACCCAGAGTCAGTCCCCGTGCGTGTCTTCTCCCAGCAGTGCTGCTGTTGCACCATCGCCCATGACGTCCAGGCATTATAATGTTCCCTACAATCCTCGCGATTGGGGACCGGTTAGTAGCAGCTCGCCAGCAAACTCCGGACAGTCTACCTATTCGCAGCCTAGCAGTTCCAATAGCTTGCGTCGAAGTGTGCATCGTCCGCCGCAAAATGACCCAGGTCTGAACTATTCTTTTTCTTTTCTTATTACTTCATGAGAAGGAAACTTTCTGACATGATGTGTTGTGCGCAGACGTTTCTCTATCGCCTCCGCCCCCGCCGTACTCACCCCCAAGCCATCAAAATCAACACCAACCATCGTGGGATGCCGTCCAACACAATTCGGTTAGGGAGGCACCCTCAAATGCGGCTCCCCCATACCCCGGGTCAAGCAATATGAATGCTGAATCTATGGTGAGCCATCGACAGCGCACCGTCTCCTCTCATCCTCGCCCACTATCAATGGTTCACACAGGTGATGCGAGCCCCAGTTCGCAGATATCACTTCCTCCACCTCCACCATTGCCGCAAGGAGGCCCGCCTCCAAGGGCGTCTTCTCAGAATCATCACGATGTTTACCATGGCATGAGCTCCGGGCCATCAATCATGATCTCGCAGGAGGATCTGCAATTCCCAACAACTGCGGGCCATGGGCATGCAGCGGCTGGACAGTTGGACCCTATTGCTTCACGCCCGCCAACTTCCAGAAGGGCCGTCTCCGCAGGCCCAGTTGTGGGGAGTGCCAGTTCATCAAGGGTTGGCAGTCAATCACCAAGCATGTCACCACCACGGGCCTGGGAGCCAGGAATGCCCCTGCCACCACCTCCGCCGGGACCTCCACCAACTTCGAGGTCACGTAGTGTGTGTGGCTCACCAGAAGCGTCATCTTCAAGGAATGTCATGAATGTTCCCGTCAAGACAAGGGTGCGGGCGCCTCCATCACTAGGAACTGGTTTGGGTAGCATACCACCTACGCCTTCTGGCTGGGTGGACGACGAATCTCAGCACGATAAGGGCAAAGACTTGGTAACGACTGAAAACAATGGCACATCCCCGCCGTCTTATACGGCACCCAAATCAGACAATCCTGTCCATCCTTCAACAAGCCGTGGTAATCTTCTCCGCAGTCCTGCTCTTCGAGACCCGAGCGCCAAGGGTATTCGAGAGAGGAGAATCGAACGCAGAAATCGCCAAAGCCAGGTTTTCGAAGATTCTTATGACCTACCTCCTGATAGCGCATGGGGTGACGGTGTGGATCAAGTAAAACCCTCAAACCTCGTTCTTGCTAATCCGAATGGCGACCGCCGCGACTCTCGTGCTCCATCATCCGCAAAGTATACACCGCATAGTGCTCACAGCTTTGGATCGGACACGCCGCAGTCAACTTCACGTTCGAGAGCTTCTTCCATCGGTCTTTTCTCCAGCCGATCTTCTTTCTCTACTCCTAAAGCTGAGCCTAGTCCAGCTGCACCGACGCGTGGATATACGCAAACACCTCCCTTCTCGCCAGACGGGGATCATCCATCCCCATATCCTAAAACGATGCCGCAGCCTTTGCCTCCAAAGGCACTCCCGACACCGCCTCTGCAATCCGCGCGAGAGGGGAAGATGCCATCCCGTCCCTCGTCTAGGGAAGAGCGCCCGATATCTCATGTGCGCCATTTATCCAACAGTTCTGTATCTTCGGAGTCTCCAATATTGCAGCATCGCTCGTCCGTATCGAAGGAATCAGCACCGAATTCCACCAAGCGAGACACGGATGGGTTTTTCCAGGACGCTGTGCAGCGACATAAGGATTTCATTGAGAAAGAAGCTAGCGCTGCAGACGAAATTGAAGCTCTAAAACTCTTCGTGGATTTCATTGTCTCTGAGTCGCGTATGAGGCGTCAACGGTATTCTCAGGCCTGGAACTCGGGGTCATTCGACCACGAGGAAGTGCGTCGAAAACTGTTTGAAACACCACCAATTCAACCACCGCCAGGCCCTGAAGCCATCAACGCAGCGTCAGCAGTTGTTCCAAGGAGGCGACCATCCATAGGGCCAAAGCTCGATATGTCACATGTCAGCCGCCTTGAGCCTTCTTGGGGAAATAGCTACAAACCATCACTGTCCCCTATTGCAAGTCTCAGTATAAGCAACGATGAGATGAGCTCACGGGGTCGTGCACCCAGCCGCTGGTGGGAGTCCAAAACCGGCTCGAGCAGCGAGGGAGATGGACGCAAGGTTCACCGTTCGAAGCAAGAGTCAAAATACATGGGGTTATCGCTGGGGTCCTTGCAAGAGAACCACCATCAACCTTCCTCCGAAGCTGAAGCGCCAGGCTACTCTCTGGATTCTTCCATGGGCCAATATGCCGCATACGGTCCAAATGAATATCCACCGGAGAAAGTTGGCTGGCATGAGGAGCCGGCACCGCCACCAGATCCATATATGCCCAGCAGTAGTTATGTCGAACCACCTAAAATGGACGTATCACGGCTGATTACCCTCCCTCCGCCGTACCCGCGCCACTATCCTGCTGTCAATAACAACCATCCTGATTTGGTTGAGTACCGGACATTGGTCCGATCAATCAGCGATCTCTCTGAGATCAAAGCCATGAGACAACGACATGATGGTGAAGTGGATCGCTTATTTCAGGACCATAAGGAAAGAACCCGCGAATGCCGGCGCATGTTCAAAGCCAACACACAGACTCAGATTCAGCATGGTAGTATTACCTTCTCCGAAGCCGCTGAGGCAGAAGCTGCACTAGTCCTGGAAGAGAATAAACTCGATCGAGCACTGGCGAAACGGGTTTTGGATCTGTACCAATCTTCTGTGTTGGAACCAACTCATGACATACTCACGGATCGGATTTCACGGGCAACTAGCTGCATTGATGAGCTGAGCAGCAAACTATTCGATGATGCGCGTCATGGGACTCCGGATCAGGCTCAGGAAGAGGGTGACGAGAAACCCGAACTGCTGGAAAAGCTCACGCAACTGAAATGGCTATTCGAAACTCGAGAAGTCCTGCACCGTGAAATGTACGACCTAGTCCGTGCCCACAACGAGAAATACAGAACCGTCGTGATCCTCCCCTACCGCCAAAAAGCAGTCGACGAAAAGGTCCGCGAAACGAACGCCTTCTTCGATCAGGATGCACTAGATCGCCGCGCCCAATACGAATCCAACACACTCTCCCGCCTCGAATCATTCCTCGACATAATCGAGTCAAATGTCGTTCGTGGCGTCGAAGTCCAACTCTCCGCCTTTTGGGATATCGCGCCATCCCTCCTCACCCTAATCGACCAAATCCCGCCAGATCTCACCGACTTCGAAGTCCAAATCCCCGCAAACGAATACGAGGAAAACCCAAGCTACCACCGCCACCCGCTACAATACCTTTACTCTTTACTTTCGCACGCAGAGAAATCGAGTTACCAGTACATCGAATCCCAAACTAACCTCCTCTGTCTGCTTCACGAGGTCAAATCTGCCGTGATGCGCGCAAACTGCCAACTCATGGAAGCTGAGCGTACGCGACGGGGCGAGCCGAGTGATGAGGTACAGCGTGAGATTATGGATACGCGGGCTAGTGAGGAACGGGCGCTCACGGCGGATCTGAAGGATAAAGTGTCTACGGTGGAGATTCAGTGGACGGAGGCGATGGGTAGCCAGATTCAGGAATTGAGGGATAGGGTTAGGATGCAGCTTGAGGCGGAGAATGGGTGGGAGGAGATGGAGGTGCTGGAGCAGACGTGATTTGATGATATGTTACCATTTTTCTATTCTTTGAGATTTGATTTGATGATGATGGTTATTTTTTGATGCTGGATATGTACATCCCTTTTGATGATACCCATTCGTTCGTTAAGTGTTATATACCTTCGCTTATTTATATGAGGATTTGTCTTATTAACTTGTCTATGTTCATTCTGCCCTTCGATTCGGCGCTATATAAATTGAGATATCGATGCAGATGAAGCCAGTATTGTTCATACATAGAATTTTTCATTTCCTATTTCACTTGCTGCTGGCAGCAAGCAGCACTATAACCATAAAAACGCGGCTTTTCCATTCACGACCTCATCAATGTCAAAAGCCAACGAAGATATTCTGCAATGTAGAGCGAAAGCACCGATTAGCCATTCGGCGGCATCTTCAAAGAAGACGTCAATGTACCTCGTCATATTGCGGGCCATAATGCTATCCAAATTCTAGGGCTTTTATAAAGCGAGTATGTCAAGGTGGCAATGGACTTATTTTGGTAATCCATGGCTGCGGTATTGAATTGGTGTAAGTTCAAGTCTCATTAGATGCATGAGCAGCGGATGACGTTTTGAGATGTTGATATCAAAGAGGACTGCTTCTGTATGTGCGTCTTTCCGGTAGCCAGTCCCCAAATATCCTCCATGTCAGCGCCCATACAAATACAAATCAATGAATGCATCCTTCCTTATTCCTTTCCGTCCGGTATATGCCGCAGGGCACGCAAGGAACAAGATGAAAGCCTCATCCGAGTCCTGCCATGTCATCACGCGGATGTTAGGGACTTGGCTATTTTTACTGTAAATCCCCTTTATCCAACGTCCCCTTTACCCATGCTACCAGTTCGGCCACCCCTGAATCTGTCGTCGCAACAGGGCATCTTCTTACATTCGATTAATGCATAAGTCGCAAAAGTGGCAATAGCATTAGTTAGTTGATCTTCTGAAGCGAGCTGACAGGTAGCTATGCAAATGCTTTACTGGGCGGCTAAATGACAGAGCTTATCGAATTACATTGTGTTCGCAACGTCTCTCGTGCCATTGTGTTGCCTGTCGAGGTGTCTTCCTTGAGGCACAGGGCTCGTGCTGCCGTATAGTTCCCTGTTTTCATCAAGTTATCTTTCAATGGGCTCACTAAATCCACTGAGTAACCCTGGAGGTTATATACCGGGTGCCCAGGGATGCCCAGTGTGTTAGTACGTATTTTCAATGCTGGCTTTTTTCTAGTTTTGGGGGTCGTTCCCAATACCATAACCATTGTAGCTATCTACCTCGTAGCGCCGCCAGTTTCTCCATCCTTGAAAAGGTTGTAGTATGTGAAGGTAATTCACCACGAGATAATTGAGAAGGTCTATAGTATAAATGTTGTGAATGTTCTACACTATATAAGAATAGCCCTGATATCGCTTACCAGATAAGGAAATATGCGCTAGTCTAGTTATGGTTGGCGCATCACGTGTAGTGCGGCTTCTAGAGGCTTCCTTTCGACATAAAAAAACTCTTCTTTTCTCTTCTTCTTTCCTCCGCGCAGAACAGCAGGCGGGTTTATTAAGCAAACTTCCCCCTCCAACCCGGTAAATCTCTGATTCTGCTTCTTCCTCTCTACAGCAACATTGATTGATCTACATCTTTCACAGCGTCCATTGCCAGGGCCCGAATTGTGACTGTAAGTTGCTCTCTTCTCCCCTGTTGGCGGTGGCATTTAATTGCTCCGCGTTTTGCCCCTCGAATGATGAGTTTTCCATAGCTGGCACCAGTCAGACACAGACGGTCTTTTAGAGCTGTCGCTGTTGATTAGCTTTCAGTCCGGGAACGCTACCCGCGATCCTGAATTTCATGCTACTTTTGCACCAATTGCTTCACATCCTTGTCGAGATTGCTTGCTAACTCGCAATGATTGAATAGAACCTACAGTTTTCGACGGAACCTTCCTGTTGCTCATATTGAGAACACTGCCGTATAGCAGACCTTTAGCGAGTTAGAATAAAAATTCGTTACCCGAATACTATCCGTTCATCATGGTCCTCCACAACCCCAACAACTGGCACTGGGTGAACAAGGATGCTTCATCCTGGGCCAGACAGTATCTTGAAAACAACCTCGTTGGCATTGCCGCCGAGGAGAATGGCGTCGCTGCAAATGTCTCCAAAGTACTGACTATGGACGGCGATGTGGATGTCAGCCAGAGAAAGGGCAAGGTCATCACATTGTTCGACGTTAAGGTACAGCTTGAGTATGAAGGTTTGTAGTCTGTGCCTCATTCATCCTAGAGACACACGGCTAAGACCCGTCGACAGGTAAGACCAAGGACGAGGAACTGGTTAGTGGTACCATCTCTGTTCCTGAGGTCGCCCACGACACGGAGGAGGATGAGTATGTCGTATGTTCCCTCTTAGCCCCTTAGATTAAAGCCTTCCGTGCCCAAGACTGACGGACGGTCGGGGATTAGTTTGAGATCGACGTCCATTCCGAGTCTCCCTCGAAACAACCCGTAAAGGACCTTGTCCGTTCCAAGATCACCCCTCAGCTCAGACAATCTCTGGTCCAGTTGTGTCCAACCCTGATCCATGAGCACGGAAAGGACCTCCAGCACGCACCTGGTGTTAACCCGTCCAGCGGGTTCAAGCCTGCTACCAGCTACCCCCAGGTCAAGAAGGAAGCCCCGGCGTCCACCACTACCACCACCACATCATCCAACAAGAAGGTCGCCGTTAACACCGCCACCGTGACTGCGTCGGACGAGTTCCGCACCACTGCCGAGGATTTGTACAGCACTTTTACAGACCCGCAGCGCATCACCGCATTCACCCGCGCTCCCCCTCGCCAGTTCGAGGGCAGCAACGTTGGCGCAAAGTTCTCCATCTTCGATGGAAACGTCGTTGGCGAGTACTCGAAGCTGGAGCCCCACAAGCTGATCGAGCAGAAGTGGCGTCTGGCTCAGTGGCCCGAGGGTCACTTCAGTACTCTAGCGATCAACTTCGACCAGAACGATATGGATGGTGTTACTCAGATGCGCGTCACCTGGACCGGTGTCCCTGTTGGTCAGGAAGATGTCACCAAGCAGAATTGGGAGGTTTACTATGTGCGCAGCATCAAGCAGACTTTTGGGTATGTTGTTTCCCCTTTGTTTGGTAGCCATTGCTTCCTCACATACCCCTTACCAGATCATCTTCACGCCCTTGGAATCACTTGCTGATGTCTGTCTTCGCTCTTCTCGGTATAGGTTTGGCACTATTCTCTGAACGTCTCCATAAGCACGCGGAAGCTTTGTGAAATCAGTCCACAAACCCATAGCCCATCATACCGTCTGCGTCAAAAACTCGTCCTATAAACTAAACTAAAACATTTTGCATTGTTCTCAACAATTGGACTTGAGAAAGCAGTACATTTTCATAATATGCTTTGATCTTTTCCTTCTCCATGAATTTCTTTTTCTCAGTCCTGCTGGTTACGGATATGGTTACGATACGATTACGATAAGAAGTTGTTGAAGCATAACATGAAGAAATCATAAATCCTTGGATATTAAAAATTTTTACGGAGTATCAAGTTAAAGTTGACTTCATAATTGTACTTTTATTTCCAATGCCGTAGATATTTTTCTAGGTAACATTATACGAAGCCATGGCCAGCTTAGATGGTCTTCTCGATCATCTCAATGCCGTAGTCGGTCTTGAGAGCCTTGAGGAGAGGACCGCAGATCTCCATGTCCGAGGGTGCGAGGACACCAGTCTTGTTGATGGTGCCGTCAAGCACCAACTTAACAGCAACAGCAGCGGGAATACCAACGGTACGAGCCATAGCTGAGTATCCACCAGGGATACCGAACTCGCAGAGAGTAGAAGTACGAGTCTCCTTCTCGCCGTTCTTGTGCTCGATGCCGAACTTGTGCTGCAGCATGACCATGTCACGCTCGTGCGGCTCGTACTGCATCTTTCTTTCCAGAGTAGCGCAGAGGGTGTCGAGCGGGTTACCACGGGGAGCGATCTGCTCGTCAGAGAAGAGGCCGATCCAGCGGAGACCGCCGAGGATACGGTCGCGCTCCTCGTTGTTAGCGAACGCAGTCTTGGACGAGATCGCCCAAGTGAGGTCCTTCTCGTCGGACGAGGTGGCGCCCAGGATCTGGCGGGTGGCCTCCTTCCAGGCGATGGGGGCGTTGAGGAAGTCAGCGGCCTCGTCGCTCAGGAAACCGATGTCGACGAGGCACTTGATCATCTCGGGGAAGCCCTGGTAGCGCAGGGTGCCGCGGATGACGGTTTGGGCTTCGGGGATCTCGTAGCGCTCGCGGAAGGGGGTGGAGTCACGGTTGGGGTAACAGAGGAAGGCGAAGCCGGGGTAGATGAAGTAGGGCTTGGCGGTGGCCATGAGCTCGGGGCCGTCGACGGAGACGGCTTGGCCGTCCTGGTAGAACTTGGCAGCGTTGCGGAGGGCGAGGAGAACGCCGCGGCTGGACCAGGAGAACTTGTAGCCCAGGGGGTTGTCGGAGTTTTCGGGGGCGGGTAGACCACCGCAGTACGAGAGGAAGGAGTTGATCTTGCCGCCTTCAGCGTGGACCTTGTGTTGTCAGTATCTATCTAACCCTGGTCTTGGAGTGAAGAATAACTCACCTCAGAGATGGTTTTGACGGCGTACAAGTGGTCGATACCAGGGTCCAGACCAATCTCGTTCATAACGGTGATACCAGCCTTCTTGCACTCCTCATCCAACTCCATCATAGCAGGAGAGACGTAAGAGGTCGTGACAACGTGCTTCTTGGTGCGGATGGCCGACTTGATGACCAAAGCGTGGAAGGTGTAGGGGATCAAGGAGATGGCAACATCATGTTGCGAGAGAGCCTGATCGAGAGCTTTTTCATCGCTGACGTCGAGGGAAATGGCAGTGGTGTTCTCAAAGCCTTCGCAGAGCTTCTGGGCGCTCTCGAGGGTTCTGCAGGCTGTGGTTGAATTAGCTGGGTCCGAGTACACCCCAATTGACGATAGAACTCAATGCACTTACCAACAGTGACTTGGACATTAGCCTTGCTGAGAACCTCAACGGTAGGCTTGGTGACTTAATAGAATCAATCAGCATCATTCTTCAAAGAACAACTTTTTCGCATGCGGGGCACTGGATGTATAGCACCCCCAGAGGCATGAGAGCAGGGTATTATACCGAAGCCAGAGCCCAGCAGGAGGGCCTTGGAACCAGCGACTTGGTTAACCATGATGACTATGGGCAATTGGATATAAATATAAAGGTATAGAGAGAGAGAAGTGGTGAATCCAATTCTCAATTCTTATCTCCAAAACGCCTCCGATGTTCCCCGCCGCAGTGTGGGATGAGTCATGATCACGTGTACATACCTGAGGCATTCAAATATCCAAAGTCCAGGATAGCAGATATAAAAGATTTGTATATATATTGTGCACAATCAGTCGTAGTAATATACAGCAGTATCCGTAAAGACAAGCCACAGCAAACATGGTAAATAGATGACAAAACACGCGGGATATCAATGGTCAATTTCTCCAAAAGCAAACTCCGTAAAACTCCCCCATAGATGTATGCTATATGCGAGTTGTTTTTTGGTTTCCTTTTCTCTCGACAAGCACATCAGAGGCATGGTTTACATACCCTTCACCTTGTTGTCCGGACGAAGGATAATTCCATCGTCCTCTTCCGCTGACACGGACCCCTCTCCATCAAAGTCCCCTTCCGCATCGGGGTTCTGCTTCGATTTAGAGATGCGTCGCTGCCATCCCAACAAGACGGGGATGAAATGCCACAAGTCGAACTCGGGCCACATGACATTCAAGAACACAATTTCCGTGTCCTCGTGGCATTGCCAAAGCATGAAGTCGCTAAGGCGTTCTACCCCCGACGTCCGTACGAGAACGTCCAGCGGCGGGTTGTCTTTTGTAAGCATGTGATCGGTTAATGTCTGGCGCGAGATGGTTTCCGGGGATACGAAGGCCGGGTTATCCGTATCCGTCCCTTCCGTCAACGGTGTCGAGGTCTTAGTGCCGGGCCCATCTTGTTGCCCAAGGTGGAGCGTCGTGGATGAGGAGAAAGAAGATCCAGATTCGTAAACTTTGTTGCGACTGCGGTCCTGCTTAGTGTTCCCATTCCCGTCCTCCGAAGATCCCGAAGTAGATTCCGTGTCACTATTGTGTTCCGTCCTCTGCGCTTGGATGTTGAGAGCAATATGCGACTCCGAAAATGGAGTGCGTGGACCTGTAGACGGAGAGCAAATCGGCTTCAACGGTCTGCTGTATTCGGAAACCGTGTCTCGGACAGCAGTAGTGATCTCATCGCGCGACGTATAGGGGAAACAGATATTCAGGACGCGGTCGCCATTCCGACTCGTCATATCCACGGCTCGGTTGACGGCCTCAAGAACATCGGGCTTGAGGAGATCCAATCGGCCCAATACGCGGACCTTTGCGCCGTAGCTATCGAGCAAGTCGCCGTGCTGTGCCATTTGGGACAGCTTCACTTTGGCCATTTCCATCAATGCATCAACCTCGAACTTGGACCGCTTGAAATTCTCGATACTAAACGCATAAATGGTGACGACTTTCACTCCACTCTTATAGCAGACTTCAAGAATCTAGATGCCGGGTGACATAAATTAGCCAACTTCTCGAGAAGCAAGAGGAAGCAGGTGAAGTTTACCCTTGCCAGTGCCTCAAATCCCAAATTATGTCCCTCCACAGTCTCAATCCCATGTGTTCTAGCAAATCTCCGGTTTCCATCCATAACAAAGGCAACATGTTGAGGGACAGGGCCCTGCTTGAGGGCTCCGACGAGCAACTCTCGGAGATGTGAAATAGCATATTCGATCGGAGGCGACGCGAGAAACCACTTCCGGAGTCGAGACAGATGCATTGATGTAGCCATAGTTATTCGTTAATTCGTGTATTATAATATAAAAAGAAAATTCGGCAATCGTAGGGAAATAGGGATTAAGTGAACGAAACGTGGGCGATGATGAGGCGGGAAACGTTCGCGGACGGAGGAGGCGACGTTGCGAAAGGCTTCCTCTGCGTCGAGACTAGCGCCTTTTAAAAAGAAGAGGAAAAATTGAAAACACCACAGTCCAAACCTGTCAGAGATAAAGTAAGAAAGATGACGATAAAAAGGCTGTGTCCATCAGGCTACACTGTTTGTTCTCCAGGGCGTTTTCTAATTTTGGGTGATAAGCGGGCGAGAGGCAAGATGGCCACAACCAATTGCGGAAAAGTTAGAATGACAGCACGTTGATGCACTCCTCTTCTGACAGGATTTGTATGTGGACTGAATCTGACGAACAGGAAGAAAAACACACCCGGACAAATGACACGCCAGTGATGTATCTTCCGCACGTGTATTCCGGGGAGGAAACGTTGCTGTACCAGTCTTGGCTCTGCGCATCTCCGGGTGTAGTTCTACTTGTACTCCGTACATAAAGGCTAGGAATCTCAACGTCTTTCCTTAAGGATAACAATAAGGATATCAAGTAAACATGAGAATAATTACAGTCATTTTCGTTTTACACTGCTCAACGCCAAACACCGCGGCTATGGAATGGGGGTGTTAACCAAGGAGAGAAAGACGGAAAAGAAAAAATAGTGACACAAAAAAAAAAAAAAAAAAAAAAAAAAAAAAAAAAAAAAAAAAAAAAAAAAAAAAAAAAAAAGCCATGGTACGTCGTTCAAATGTTTTTTCGACTTCCATCGTCCGGAGTAGATGGCGTGCTAGTTCCAGTGCTGGCCATGTCCCAGCTGCCATCATCGCTCCGTCGGCGACGACGTTCGCCACGCTCCCTCATGGCGTCTCGAATCTTCGAACTTACTTCCTCGAAATCACCGGTGGTGTTCAATTGACTCAGTGGCCTTAGGTGACTTCCTGAAGAGCCAGGTCGAGCACCAATGGAGCTGCTCCGGCTATGGCTGCGGCTGCGACTTCGGCTAGCAGGTCGGGTCGAAAAGAAGCCGATGTTGGCAAGGTTATGGAACGACTCATTGCGCGGGAGTGGTTCCTGTGTGGCAGACCCTTCATTGTAGTCGGTCGTACTGGTCCGTCTGATTTCCGGAAGTGAAATGGGATCGCTGGTTTTCCCGTCGGACCGGTTGATCTCCCGGAACGGATCTGTGATAACCCGGGCAGCATCGAAGTCAGGGAAAAGCTCCGGACCTAACGTGTTGATGGCTTCCGTGACCTGCTGAGCAAGTGCGGCACGTCTGTGACGAAGTCTTACCAACGTATTTACCGAGGACGGGTTCAAAGACAGCACAAGTGGTCGAAGAGACTTGACAATATCCATACCAATCTCACCGATCCGCAGCGCTGCAAAGGTGACAGTGGGGAACAGAATCATCCCAATCGGCACAATTAGCCAGAGAGGAACGCAGGTAGGGACCAATCCTTGTATCCGGTTACGGTAAGTCCAGTACGTAAAGACGGCCGTATAGGTAGCATATACCGCCGGGGCAAACGCGAGAGCAATGAGGAGCTTCCATGTCGCCATTACATCACGTCCTTGCAGTTTGACTGAGGATGCTGCTAATGCTTCCCTGGATTTCTTGATTGAAATAAACTTGGTAGCGATGAAAACGGGAGTGAAAAGGAGCAAGCCAGGCAGAGTTCCAATCGTCAGCAGAACCAGTTTGATCAAGCGATAGATCAGAGTAGCAACAACTTGTATGATAGAGAACTTTGCATAATCAACTTGATGGTCCCGGATGCCCAGGAGACGGAGCTGTTTATTGTAGGCCGCAATTGATTTTCGGAGATGTACAATTCTGGGGTCATCTCTAAAGTGAGTATATCCCTTTACGAGGCGGCGGTTGAGCTCCACAACCATCGGAAGCGGGAGCTTCTTTCCCCTGACGTTATATAGACGGCGAGCGGCTTGGATAACCTGTGACATACTAATTAGTTATACTTGTCATGAAGAAAGAAACAGGAATATCAGGAACAAACCATCAAAGTCTCGTAGTCAGGACTAGTCACGGTAACAGCAACGAGGCTCTGGTAGATGATATCTAGCAAGGCACCAACAGCCTCGCGCCGTTCTCCTCGCTTATACTGGTCGACCAATTCCCTTGGAACCTCGAGGGGAGTCCCAAACTCAATCACGGCCCTGGACCGGAATTTATGCGCATGAAAGTAATTCATTCCACAAGGAACGATCTTCAAGCCGCAGTCCGGGTTGTCTGCCAAAGTACCAAGGGCCATCATTGCCACGCCAGCTAGAAAAGAAGTAGAGTTAGTGGAGAAAATTCAACAAAAAAAAGTTTTTTTAAATGCAACAGATAACATACCCTTCAATGGCAGTAGATCAGAACGGTCATGGCTACCACCTTCCGGGAAGATGCCGACACAACCGCCCGAGTTGAGTCGACTGAATACGGCCTGGTAGACAGCTGTTTGATCCACGTGAGGAGAAAACTTGAACTTCGAGCCCTGGAAGTTCTCCAGGTCCTTGTCGGATACATCCCCGGTGAATTTTCCATCGTCCGTGATGTCTTTTCGTCCGGTAAGCTGGTAGAGAGCATCCTTGTGTTTGAAGACCTTCTTGATTATGAGCTCCTCTGGACCGCAAATTTCAGCAATGGCCGTATTGTGCGACGTGCCGTTGATGGTAGGCAGAGCGATTGTGCCATCTTTTTCGTAGCCCGGAGCCTCGAAATTGGTGCCAATGCCACGGATTAGAGTAGGGTGGTTAACCGGGTCGGGTAAATAGATAGTCCCTTGACCCGGTTTGGTATTGTCCATTGCTCTAGCGACTGGCACAGTTCCGATACCTCTGGCCAGCATTCCAATAAACCTGCGCCGGAAGGATTTGTCTGCGATAAGCCATGAGATGCGACGTTGAGCTTCGCTGCGCATAACGCGCATGAGAATCAACGAATCGACAAACTATAGAACGAAATAATTAGCAGTCGATCAAGAACAGAACAGGGTGATAGAAGCACGTAGCCATACCTGGTTCGCATGGGGAGCTGCGACGATAATCATCGGACCTCTGCGAGGAATCTTCCAAGAACCGCGAGGATGAACCTCGCGGAAGAACAGGTCAATGAGCACCGAGAAGGTCCATAGCACCAGATCATACAACCAGCTGATCAGGGGAGGGATATACGGTTGTTTGGCCGCCATGGTGATTGTGTTTTCGCGCTCAGTCCTCCGGAGTCGTAACCACCGGCCTTTTGGTCGTAAAATCTCTGACCAGGGACAGAGCGGTTGCTGATGCCCGTTTCAGAGATATTGGTTGTTCCGGATAGTTGCTGAAGATAGTATATAGGAAGCACGCGACGATACCGACATTGACTGCTCTGATTATCACAAGGCAATGATTAACTTCAGTCCAGCCAAAAAAAAAAGCGGATGGAAACGAGATATATTTGCGAGGTAAAAAAGTACTCACAGTGACTTGAAAATGGATATCCTCCTGCGATAGGATAAAAATCAACAATCAATGCTGTTGGGGAGCCATGCATAAATATTAGGAAAGAGTAGGTGGTGATGAAGTAATTCCGGTCTGGCTGGTGGGGGGAAGCAGGAAAAGCGGTTGGTTGCGTCCCTTCTCGACGGGCGCTTTTAGTGACTTGCGACGTTTCTAGAACCACCGCGTCAAGCGGCCTAATTGCAACCTCAACCTGTCTAGCATTGAGAGAAAAATAAATAACCCCTACGGTTATTGTTACCCTGTATGCCCTGTATGTCTCTGTATGTCCCTGTTCAGGTGGTGCAATCGGCATGATGGAACCAATCCGTAACGTCTACCTGCATTGTACATGAATACTATGTGGACAATACTTCAAAGGGTTCGGATTAGGAATATCCTTCTATCCATTTTGCTTCTGGTTCTTTTTCATCTTGCACAATTGCGGAAATATCAACCGTTTCTTCATGAAAGATCCATTATCTGCTGCTAACAGTGGTTTTTTCAAACCCCTCGAGAGAAGACAATCCCAACTATTCGATATGCTCATATCAAACTACAGGTATCCTGGAATCTACTGCATCCATGGAATCTCGACCAGAAAGCTACCAATCTCCCCAGGATGGTACAGTCGAGTTCCTGGGAAGCCTCTGCAAGTAGTTCCCGCTGCAGAGTCAAGTCAACCTGGTCGACGATATAACTACTGCCATGCCTCCACCACCACCCTCACCACCCAGGAAAAGTTTACGCGAGGATTGCATGACGTTATGGGAGTATACTCTTCAAGAGTACAAAGTAATTTCATGGAATTACAAAGGACTAACCTATACAGCTCCTTTTCCGAAAGGTATCCGTTCTTGGTGGCAATGATATAGTCTGCAAGTAGCTTACCCGGTGGGTGGTAAAAGCGGATAGTTGTGGCTGTGACGATATTCAGTTAGTATTCTGGTTCCAAAAAATCGAGCACACTGGAATAAAAAATATTGTTGAAAACATGGTCGAAGATTCAATTGGAGAGATTACGCTACAGTATAGTTAAAAGAAATGGAGACATGTGGAGTAGGAATCTCCAGGAACAGAAAATAAATACAAGTTTTTTCTAGAATTAAATCTATTGAAACAACGAATTACCCAGTAGGGCTATGTGGTATGCTAGTATCATAACTGAAGAGCTTTCGGTGGATATGAATGATTATGTATTTCAGTATCAGCTGATGCTCCCAGGGATCTCATTAAAAAGTGGCGGGCCCGGTCTCCCGCAGGGACATCTACAGAGTACGGAGTACTACGACACTATACGCATCGTTGCCTCCATACCAGCCACAGTTGTCTTTACTTCCTACGATATACTCTGTACTGCGGCTTCCTTTTCCACAAAAAACCGACATTGGTCCATTACTAAGGACTCAAGATGTCTATCAAGTACGTGCGAGTATCCCTCTACACCGACATCGGATTGCGCTTTACATATCAACCATGTCTAGTTTACGACCGGGCAAACATATGTAGAACCAAAAATAGGCTAATTTTTTTCACAGTTGGGTTATGCTAAATGACCAAGATGGTTTCGTCCATCTTCCAAATGAGCAGCTGCTTTACAAGTCGCCTCCACGGATCGGCTTCTTGTTACAACCACTCGGTTCATATAAGGGCAGCGACTCGATATCTCTCCAAAGTAGCGGGGGCCATATTCATCTTACCAATCAGCGGGTAAGTTAATCCGGTCATTTCCTTTTGTTGAACGCTCGCTGATAAGGCTGGATAAGGTTGTCTATCTCCCTAGCCAGGGCACTAAAGATTTTCAATCCTTTTCTGTTCCGCTTTTAAATATCCGTGACTCTCATGTTTCTGCTCCTTTCTTCGGACCAAATGTCTGGCAGGCTCTTGTCCAGCCGGTCTCTGGTGGCGGGATCCCGCCGTCGCTGCCTGCCGTGCAGGTAAAAGCTACTTTCAAAGAAGGCGGAGCGTTTGATTTTCAGAATCAGTTTGAACGTATTAAAGAGCGCTTACAGCAGGCTATGGAGTTTTCTCCGGAAAGTACTCGAGGGGAGGTCAATATGTCTGGTGTCCATTTAGACGAGTTACCAGCCTACGACGGACCGCAAGACGGGGGCAGCGCCGGTCATAACCACGAGAACTCATCATCTACACCGCATAATAGCCATGCTCCTCCATACTCTGGCCCTGAACACTCTAGCCCTGAACCCGCGGAACCGCCGCCGGGATACGAGGAAGTGCAGCAACAAAGTGTCGCGAATGAGTTGGAGGAGAGGCTGCGTCGTGCTAGCTAGCCGGGATATCTATTAAGAGGACAGTCTTGGAAGATTTCTCCGATAGCTTTTATACCTACGAGATTGGTGTTCTGCTATTTGCTTTCTAATAGAACCTAACGATTGCCCCTCACGTGTACATGTACTTAATGACCGATATGGTAGCTAAAACAGCATTAATGGCGCTGGTGCAACACTCTACAGCCTTTAACTATTCCCCCATAACCACAACAATCGTCTTTCTCAATTGTCCATTGTAAGAACGAAGACTGCTGAGTAAATGCGATGTTAGCGTTAGCCCGTTCAGCGTCAGCCAATCACGTGGCCGACAATTCCATTCGTCGTTCGGCGGCCGGGGTGTTCCGATTTTCCTTGGGCCGGCAGCGCAGCAAAAGCGGAAAGCTCAAAACCACCTCCAATAATCCCACCACCACACCTACTCTCGCTGCTCGTCGTCGCTGCCCACCCGCGCACGCTCGCCCACCCCTCTCCCCCGTCAACAAACACCCAATTACCCCTCTCAATTGAACAAAATGGGTATCACCGACTATTTTTCCGATATGATTTCCTCCCTGGGTTTCCCCGAGGCCCAGGCTGAGGCTCCCGCCGAGAACGTCGAGCAGTCCAACGACCAGGAGGCCGAACCGGAAGAGAAGTCCGCTGAGAGCAATGAGGAGCCTGCTGAGGAGGAACCTGAGCAGGATGAAGAGGAAGAAGAAGAGGAGGAAGAGGAAGAGGAAGAGGAGGAAGAGGAGGCCGAGGACATCAAGCCCCAGCTGGAGGAGGGTAAGTCATTTGCTCTCAATTGAAAAACGATTGCTCTGTTTTTGGATCTGTGGTCATTGGGGAGTTGGAAAGCCGGCGTGGAAGTGATTCCCCGAAGATCTGTCGGAGTTGGTATTCCATTTGCCCGGTTGGGAAATTTATTTGTGGTTACAGGTCCATTGACAGCAATCATATCTAGCATATCATTTTACTGTAACTGTGGCTTTGATGGAGGCTAATCAAGGATTCCAATAGAGTGCGCCAACTCCTCCCAGTGCGCTCCCTACAAGCACCACTACGATGAGTGCGTCGAGCGTGTGACCCGGCAGCAGGAGGATGAGGACTACAACGGTCCCGCCGAGGACTGCGTTGAGGAGTGTAAGTGGTTATTGCTCTATCGGCCCTTTTGGTTTCTGCTCTTCCGGTTCCGCATATCATGCCGGTTTGCGCTTGGATATCATGAGGAAATGATATTGACTTATCGACCTTCTACAGTTTTCCACCTCACCCACTGCGCTACCCAGTGTGCCGCCCCCAAGCTCTTCAAGGCCCTCAAATAAACGGCTCAGAACGCCCGCCACGTTTTCTCTTAATGGTTTCGAACGCCGAACTGATGTTGACGAACGAATTATCTGGGATAAAGACATGAAGAGGAATACGTGGGAGCAGAGGTCAATTAAAAAAGAAAAAGCATATCATAGATGGCTGCGATGCGCTTTTGAATTGTTCTACCTTTCCTATGTCAGCCTGCCGTTAAAACACCCTTAGCATTGGCCGCGATTGGACGGTGATCGCGGCTTCTGTGTATTGTCAGGATGGGATGATAGACATGTCCTTTACCCTGTATGTACAGATAGCTGGTCTCTAGTCATTGTGAAATTCTGCTATTTTAATTTATGTTTAGAATGAACGTTCTGTTTAGATGTGTACCGGTACAGAGTAATTAGCCACCTACAAAGGCCTAGTAGAGATTAGTATGCGATTTCATTCGAGGAAGATGATGTTCTTTAACAATGGAATTAGAGGAGGATTCGAGCACTGGTGCGTTTCAGAGTCGCTGTGGAAATCCGGGGTTGGATTCCAGGAACACAACATGACGTGCATTTCTCCATACCAGAAGTACAGAGTACCAGAACTAGAAGATTGCCGACCCTACTCTGTCTGCCATATGTCGCGATTGACAGTGTGGCTGGGAGAATAACTGTATCTCCCGTTTGATGATGGTCACTAACAAAGATGTCATTACCGTCCGAAAACAAGGAAATGCATATGGTTCCGAATCGCAAAGAACCGCGGAGCCGAGCAGACCAGTCAAGGCGAAAGTCTGTCATCCATCAGAAAGCGCATTTCTTTTTCTTATATTCTATTGATTCTTCCAATCCTGTTACTGGATCTGTCATCCGTCCTCGTCAGCTTCTGTACTCTCATTTGCAGATCTCGTCTTTGCGCTGTCGCTTTTTTCCAACCATCTCTTTTCTCCCGTCTCTCCCACCACTTGGCTATCCTCTTGTTCCCGACTCAACACTATCTTTAATTATTATAATCCCCTGGGAAACGAACTTCCTCTCCTTTTCAGAAACGCACGCCATGATGAGCATGTCCGTGTGACGGCTCTTCCTGAGATCCCGAGTCCCCGCCGCTTAAACCGTGACCCTTTTTCTCCTCCCCCTTTTGGGGTTAACTATTGACTTTGACTTCAATACCTTTTATTTATTGAACTGTCAAATATGAATGGTAACGATATCCGGTCCAGCCTGTCCTCGTACGGCGACGCCAGGCACTTGTCCGCCGCGTCGCTGGACGCCGTTCCTCCGCAACCTCCGGCCAAGATACTCCTGGATGGATATCAAGATTCCCTGGATCCGCAGCATGAGGAGAAATCGCGGTATAATCCGGTATGTGCTTTCTGGAATCTGGCTTTTTCTTTATCGCATGGTATAGATTTGGGAAGTTTCGCTGACAATTGAAATCGCAGCTTAACCAAGCGCACCCCCGAAGCTCCGCGCTTCTCAACGCCAATGACCCCGTTACGATGTACATGTTGACCGAAACCGCTATGGGGGATAGCAAGAACTACGAGGTCTTGTCTATGGAAGAGGTGGAAGAATTGAAGAAAGAATACACATTCCTGTCCGGTCGTATCGATGGCACGAAACGGAAACTGGCGCTGGAAGTGAAACTCCGTGAAGCCGCGAAGTCGCTCTCAAAATTATACAACCCTAAAAGCCCTCGTACCAGTGAAGACTTCAACAACAGTTCGCCCAAGTCCAACCGGAGTCGTCGGAGTCTGTTTAGACGCAGCGGAGACGCTGAGCCGCTGGACAAATCGGACGAGGAACTTGCGGCTAGCACGCGCAAGTGCGAAGCGCTGGCTCAGGAGTTGTGGAAGATAGAAAGCAGGTCGCAGCACATTCAGCAGCGGTTATTGGAGCACACGGCTGGAGTGTTGCAGATGACACACAAGGGGTTGAAGAAGAATGCGAAGGGTGCTTTGTCCCCTGAGCTCAACGGCAACGGCCACGCTCGCGACAGCATTGAGGATTTCGATGATCGCAGCCTGTACCAAACGTCCAACTACTTGGATGAATTTAATGGATATGGCAGAGAGGACCATGGATATGGCGCAGGGTCGATGTCTGTCGGTCTCGGTGCAATCCAAGACATTGAGAGGAAGCTAGAGGAATTGAGTACCCAGATGCGTAACACGATCCTGCGAGCAAATCCTGACTATTATTTGGATCCTGCCCCTCAACCTGATCACAACGGAGGACCGGTAAACCCAACGGCGACGGTCGAGGCGTATGTATCGTACCTTGCGAATGGCCTGGGGGCCCTTGGTACACAGCCCTCAGGGGGTGCTTCGCGTGCCCCCGAAACAGGAGACGATTCTGAGTCTGGGGAATACATACGCGAGATTAACGCTCGTATGTACAACATCGTCGCAGAGTCAGGGTTCTCTCGCGGCCCAACACTCCCTCCTCCGCCCCAATCTGGTGGTCTGCAGGAGAACCTCTCATATTTGACCACCGGTGTGGACAGTTTTCAGAGCCGTTTTGAAGGTCTGCTTGAACGAAAGGATATCTTGACCACTCAGATCCAACAGCAACGCGAACTCAACTCCAAGTCAGACGCGGAAAGAGACGCGTACATCGCCGAATTGCTTGAGCAACTGTCGCATGCCCGGAAGGAGCACGAGCTTTCCGAACGAGAGGGCCAGACCACGAAGGATGAACTGGATCTTGTGCACCAGCAGCTGGAGGCGCTGCGCCAAGAGGCATCGCATCATCAGGAAAACTCAACCAGCCGTGGCGATGTCAACGAAGGCGCTTTGGCATCTGAGAAAGAATCTCGCGAGCGCTCTGAGGCTGAGGTCGCCCGCTTGGGAGTTGTCTTGGCACAACTTGAGAGTGAAGTTCATTCGCACGCTGAAGTCCGCGAAGCGCGTGAGCGGGCTGAGACTGAAGTGGCGCGTCTCGAAGCAGAACTCGAACAGCACCGTTCTGAGTTCCACTCTAAAGTCGAAGAACTGAACTCCTCGCGTTCGCAGACAGATGGTGAAGTCGAACGCCTACAAGGCATCATCGAGAAGTTGCACCAGGAGGCGGACACAAGAGCGGAAGAAGTCACTGAGACACGAGAGCGGGCCGAACAACATGTGTCCCAGCTGGAAGAGGAAATGCAACAGATCCGTAAAGAATTTGACGCCCGGATCAAGGAAGCCACAGACTCCCAGGCCCAGGCCCAGAGCGAAGTTGTTCGCTTGGAAGCTGTTATCGCACAATCGCACAACGATGTCGACCCGCAGGTCAAGGAAGCGACTGAGGCACGCGCCAAGGCTGAGCAACAAGTGATCGAGCTTGAGGCAATCATTCAGCAAATCCGCAATGAAACCGACGGCCAGGTTCGTGAAGCCACGGATGCTCACACCCACGCACAGAGCGAGGTGGCGCGGCTGGAAGCTGCCATCGAACAGCTCCGCAACGAAACTGACCCGCGTGTCAAGGAAGCCACCGAAGCACGCGAAGAAGCGGAGGCAAATGCTGAGCACCTGCAAAAGGAATTCACAGAACTAGAAAGCGAGTACGTCAGAGCTCAAACAGAGCTGACCATGGCCCGGGCAGAACTTGACAGTGCGTACGGTAGCAAATCCCAGCGTGCAGCCGCCAACCCCGGCCTGCAAAAGGAGTTCGAGCAATTACACACTCGCAACCTCGAACTCGCACAAGAACTCGCCGCCATCAAGGCCAAGAAACCCGGCGATGGCAACCTGCAGCGACGGGTGGAGACTCTAGAGAAGGAGCTCCGCGAAACGATAGACGACTACGAATCCATGACCAAAGCCAGCATTGAATTCGAGAAAGAGCGCGAAGGATTCGAAGGCATTATTGATCGATTGCGCGATCGCTGCGAGCAGCTGGAGACTCAGATTAATGAGGAACGCATCAGCTGGATGGGTCTTAGTAGCCCGGGCTCCATGGGCCGCGATGGCACATCTGAGACTACATCTACGATGGTGCTGAAGAACGAGTTTAAGAAGATGATGCGTGATACTCGGGCTGAGAATATCAAGATTCTGAAGGTTAGCACTTCCCTTCCTATCCCTACTACACGTTCCTTGCAATATTAACCCATTCAATCTAGGCCGAGCAAGAAGAGCGTCGAAAACTGGAAAACTTGATCCGTACTCTGAAGAAAGAGCAGCAGCAGCTGGCCGGCAAAACATAGTCAGAGTACTACGGCTTTATGATCACGATGATGCTTTATTTTTTTTTGTTCATCCCTGGCGCCACATTTTCAATATCCCGTTCTTCGTACATAGCTTTGATATTTCTTTCGGTGGTCTGCACTTAATTGTTTGGTTCTCCTATGTGTATACTGGTTTGATTCGAATGTATAGGTAGACTAATGTACATGATTTTGGCTGCGAATATTTGGACTTTGGGACTTGCGCTGCTGCTTAATGTCCTGTGACACTCCGAAGAGGGACAGAGGGCCAGGGCAGCAATAATCGAACGTTCATTCCCGTAGTGGATACTTGGCGATATACTTATCGATTCCATTGCTCGTCATTATTTTGTTATATTGGTCAAGACAGAGAGCCCTACTGCATCACCGAATAACTTGAAGGAAAGAATTATTCATCTTGGTTGTTGACCTTGCGAACGCAAGCACGTAATACATAGGTTTTCTGGTGTGCTGGAAGAAAAAAGTAAGCACACAAACGTAAGAGCGAAAGAAGTCAACATGAAGAGACTAAGCAGCAGGCAGAGTTTGGTACGTACTTCTTGCCTATGTAGTACCCTTTTTTGTAGCTGTCGAGGATGTGCGCCATAATCCCCAACCCATATACATCAACGTAGGCCCAGAGTTTTCTAACAGACGAAAAGGCTTGGCCTCTACCACCGCAAGGACAACGCCGATTTCCCTCACTCGAAGACGCCCATCATTGATTGTTCGGATACTCGCGTGTCCAAGCTGGAAACCCATGAACTTTTGTTTGTTAGTTAGAAGATTCTAGCCTCGCATCTCACTCTTTGACACATATTCTGAAAGAGGCGCTAGCAAATGGACACTGGAGACTATCCTTCCAGAGAAATCTTCAAATGTCTACGAGCGGATTACTCTCACCAGTTCAATCTCCAGTGGTTTGACATCTTCGCTGTTTTTGCATCTCTCGTGCCAACCAATCCTCATGAAAAAGAAGATGAGCATTCGGCCGAGTCAGCAGTCTGAGATCACGGATTACCTCGTAATACCTACCGCCGTCAGAAAGCTGTGCCAGCATCTTCAAGAATAAACAATACCTACAATACCTCACCGATGAAGGAGCTCTAGCTTTGATCTGCTTTTTTGGGAAATGTCGGAATTAGATGCTTTCTTTTTTCAACCTACACCACGCAAGGACTATAATGCTGCAGAGAGTGGATTCGGATTTGATGATTTCACTTGGTATCACCGCACTCAGATGCAAAGGCCTGAGGGACCATTTGATGATCTTGTGTATACGTACGTTTTATATGCGCGTACGTTGAGCAACAAGTGCGAATTTTCCTACGAGTGTCTCATGTATGCCAGTCCTTTCCTTCCCAATGCAGGTGTCTGGCTAAAACCTGTTGTTCTGTTTAGTTCCGTGGGACACAGGGCAGTCTTTACCAGAGCTATTTACCACGGCAGGGAGATAGCAGATATTGAGTATGCCGAAGGCCTTCGAAAAATGTAAAGTCCCACCGCTTGATCATGATGTCGAACACAAACGAGACAAAAGGCGATTAGACGACAGTGTCTGAAATCGGAATTCCGCTCAGCTGGATGTTGGTGGCATGAGAGCTCAGACGCATGTAATATATCGGGAAGGCGTGCCTGGTTCGGAATTCTATATGATCTTTCCGGTGCGTGGCCTACCTCGTCTCCTGGTGTTCTCTTGACGAACGCCAACAATAAATGTTGTTTGTACAGGTTCTTGACATATCATTTTCTATGCAAACACACGTCCATGCTATTCAGGCATACTTCCAAAATGGCGAGCTCAATATCCAATTCACCAAGTTCCATGTTTTCAGCGAGTCCGACTCTGAGTCCAAGTACATCGCGACTATGAACTGTCTTCTCAAATGGGCTGATGCTAGACTATGCGGTGATACCCTAGCGGTGCATAGTGATGAGAAGTTAGCGGGAAAGTTTTGCGTCACTTCGATGATAGAAAGCGCGAAAGAGCTGGCAAATCAACCGGAGCTTTGTCTCATTTCTAGCAATCCATTCGGTGGCCCTCCCTTCGCAGAACCAGAATGGCTTGTTTAGCAGTAATTGAAGTGAGCATACGGAAATTCATGTAATACTGAGATATTTCATCTGGATCTACTTCGGTAATCTGATAAAATGATGGTATGATTTCAATTCTACAAAGCCCTAAATGTGAATCTTGTTGGTTTGAACTGAATCCGATACAGGCTACATACAGGCTATACCAGTGAGGAACCCTCCTTGGTCATATTGAGCTATGCTCATTTGAGCATTTGAAGTCGGTTCGAGTCTGTTCAGGCTAAACAACCTCCATCCCCAAAGGCGACGAGCATGAAATGCCGGGTGTTTTCACGTGATTGTACAGATATGTATGCATTTTCGAAAGTGTCGGATGTATCAAAATATCTTGTTCCTTCTTACTTCCTGCCTTTTTTGGACATAACGCATATTGGGAAAGTGCCATGGCCGCCGACAACCTCACGACTAGACAATCCCCTTTAAGCTTTTCATCATAACCGTCCAGCGCTATGCTTTCTTCCTAAAGCAATTTATTGTTCTTTTTGGACTTCCTATCCTTCTTTATTTAACGGTCCAGCTAATCTATCCTTTCGTCCTACTTTCTAGTGCCCGCCAGCTCCTTCCCAATTGAGAACAGAATCGTCTCCTAATGGAGCAGGATATCACTGCAGAAAGCTCAAGTCGCGCCCATTTCGGAAGATTTCGAGATAGTAATCCTCATTCAGGATCTTCAGAATCTGCCCAAAGTGAATATGGCTCCATATATAACGCTCTCAAGGCTAGTTCCTCCGGGACGGAAGACAACAACGGCCGACAGTATGCCTCCAGCCAACACCACTGCCCGTTCCAAAGCAGCGACCTGGGCGGAAATATAGCCATGTTCCTCTCTACCTCTCCGAAACCCACCGTTGTCGAACACCCCATAGGGCCCAGGAGGACGAGGTCGCGCTGGCGGCGATCCCATACTCTGCCTGACAATTGGTATCCCACAAAGACGAAGACCATCGACCCTATAGCAGAGCTATTCAAGGACGCGAAAGCAAAAGCAAACAACCTACGCCGTCTGGGACACCGTAGGGCCGCCAGCCTCAGTGATGCAGATAACAGGTCGAGAACGCCAAGGTGGGCAGCGAATCTCTTCTCGCCTGTGAGACCATTTCTTCCTCGATATCCACCTCCTGATAGGTCGCCTACACCTCCTGGAATTCCTTCCTTTGGCTCCCCGGAAGCTATAAACTATTCGAGACAATTCTCTGTCCGGTCTTACGCTCCCAGTCCGCCCCCAGAAAGGACACCCAGCAGACGTACAACTGAGTACGCACATACATTGCGGAGGCTTTTCCGGATTACTTCGCCTGTCGATCCACAACCGAGCAGACGCCAGACATACACCCTTGCAAGGGCTGAGGATGGGACAGCTGTTCAGGGACGTTTCCCATATCGAGCGAGCGGGCATGGTGTGAATCTACACAGGCAATTGGACGACCATCCATTCCATCGGGCGGTTTATCCCGTCCCTGAACTGGATGTGCCCAATCTGGATGATAGGTTCAATGCTGGGATTCAACCATTAAGGGGACATCATGATGTCACCAAGAGCCGTTATTCTACGCCAGCTGTGCCTCGTAGGGTACATTCGAATCATTTATTGAGGTCGCGCCATGCACATCCACCAGCATTATCGGCACTAGGACCATCCTCGCAGAGATCTCATCCATCAGCCCCGTTTCTTGCTTCGCCTGCAAACACCTCATACTATAGCTGCATGTCCCAGCCACGAACTGGTGCTACGGTGCCAGCAGTCGATGGTGAAATAGGTCTTTCGAGGGCTGGCAGAGCCAACAGCCCTCCTAGGGGCATGCTCTATCAGCAGCAATTACCGGCGCAAGCTACTCGACCCATGAGCATCCTGACCGCAAGCACCACTCGCGATACGCAAGGAACAATGAGCTTCTGGACGCGCTACGAACTGCTTTCTCACTATCTCCCCTGCTGCTGCTTGGCACCTGCTGCTGCTGACGACGAGGATAACAACGACGACGGGGCTACCATTGGTGACGATTCAAGAATCTCGAGGACTTCGCGGACTTCTGGCGAAACGTTCATGACTGCGCGAAGCTGGGCTGATGACCAAGAGCAGCCACAATACCGGCGCTCTGCTGCTCCAGATCCATCAACGAGACCTCCTCCGAATACGTTCGCTGGTTGGAATCCAGTCTTCAGGGAACGATGTCCGAGACCGATTAGGAGTCCTTTAGTGGCCGATCCTATGCTTGCTTAGGCTGCACCTTTGTTTTGGATAGCACGTTCTTGTTTCGTCTTATCCGTCCTAGAACATTTCTTTCCAGGTTTCTCTTCTCCTTTTGATTGCGATGTACCTTCTTGTTTTATAACTTTGGTTTTGGAGTCTGCATAGCTTGAAGCATACTATTATTATATGGTTCGGTGTTGATATCATTCCTTATTCATATAGGGCTTTGAACGAGAATATATTCTATTCATGGCTAGTACTGAACAAGCTCGAGGTATCGAGCTCGCCGCAGTATCTAAAGAAAACAAGAAACAAGAGAATAGAATCCAACCAACTACTATTCACCACCAAAAAAGACAAACGTCATTGTCAACGTGGCAAGGTAACTAGCTGTCGGTGTTCCATCGGATTGAGGGACTTCTTGCACGTTGAATAGCCCATCAAGGTTGCCCTAGTCCCTAAAGCAATAGCACTAGTACATATATAGTTAGAATTTGGATAAGGCATAGGGATAGGTCAGACATGTTTCACAATCTCCGCTTATAACGCGTCTTTATTTCGGAATGTGGGGTACATGGAAAAATAATAAGAATTCTAGAAGCTTTGCGAGTCATGTACTCGGTGGTTTTTGGCGATCTGTTAACATTCGAGTCTTCCTCCGATATCTGGCATTTCTGGGAATAGTCCCAGTAAGAGAAAGCAAGAGTTGTGCGCAATATCATACGGAGTACAGGCCGTACAGGCCATTTGATATTCTGCAAGGTCACACTTTCGCAAAGGCCGAAACCCTTTTTGTATTTCCTCCATGGAAGAGTTCTATCTCCATACCCCCTATAAGATAAGAATCCACTTTCCACTGGTCATGTCTCATGAAATTGGCTCCCGTCCTAAAACTCAATAGCCCGGGTATTCTGGACTATACCTGTGCCTGGAGATCTACAGCATTCTTTCCAAAGAGGGACATGTTTCAGATGATCACCCTCATACTAGCTGCAATGCCGTTGACCGCTGGATTGTTCCTCTTGGATATATTGATTCGAGGGACTATAAAGAGGGCATAACTTCCTTGGGTAGAGAGGATATCCGACACTCAACCCATCCTTTTTATCCAACCTTTCAACTCACACCAACACCAACATCCTGTCATAATGGTCCGCGTCAACAACATTCTCTTTGCCCTGGCTCTGGCCACCGGTGCTCTGGCTACCTCCAACTGCCAGGCCAAGGATAACGCCTGCCGCACCGCCCCCGATGCCAACATGGCCCAATGTGCCTCTGAAAATGCCGCCTGCTGCTCGACTGCCTACGACGAGTGCCGTGGTGCCCCCGATGCCAACATGTCTCAGTGTGCTGCTGAGAACGCTGCCTGCACTGGCTCTCTGCAGCGCCGCGACGATGCTTGTGAGACCAAGTACAACTCTTGCCGTACCGCCCCCGGTGCCAACATGTCTCAGTGTGCTGCTGAGCACGCCGCCTGCACTGGCTCTCTGCAGCGCCGCGACGATACTTGCCAGACCAAGTACAACTCTTGCCGTACCGCCCCCGATGCCAACATGTCCAGCTGTGTCGCCGACCATGCCAGCTGCTGCTCGACCGCCTACGATGAGTGTCGTGGTGCTCCCGACGCCAACATGTCTCAGTGTGCTGCTGAAAATGCCGCCTGCAAGAACCAGGCCTAAGTGCCTCGTTGGCCGTCTTTCTGTTTATGGACGTTGCAACTCAATCCTCGAGCAGCATATCCATGAATTTAGCTTCTACCTTGTCTTGTTAGTCAAATGGGTTGGTTATCGGGCAAGGGGGGCTGCTTTATGATACCCGGAAAGCAATATTCTGACTAGCTCATTCACTGGGTGTATTTATAGCTGTGTCTAATTAATTTGTTCCTTGTCACATAGCCTAATTGATCGGTTTATCGTCTCTGTACCTAAGTACCTCCATAAAATACAAGTCACTCAAAAGATAGTATGGTTTTTCAGTATCCAGGGCCCAAATACCATCACAACAAGTCCCTTGATTGTAATCCACTCCGGACCTTAAGAGGCCAACAAACTAAGAAATTATTGACGATGAGTGGCAGGGTAATTTCAATTCATGCTTGCCCTAAAGAGACATAGATACGCCGAACTCGTCATAAAAGGCTATGGCCATAGTAGTCGCATCGTCTGTATGATTTTTGTCCCAGTGGAACAGCCGCAATAAACTAGGGAATAATGAAATATGTGCGCCCATATGTTGTTTACAATGAATATTTTAGTGCCTGAGTTAAACTTATTGAGAACGGTATAATATATGCACATTTTACTTGTACCGCGGCTAACCACCTTAAAAGCGCTCTAGGCATCATGGGCGCAGGATTCTGCAGTGGATGCATTTATTGCATCTCGTCTTAGACACACCTCTCAGAGGACCATGTAATCTAGTTAGCTGAAGCTTTTGACGTCAGGTTTATGTATTTTTTGGACAGCATCCTAGGCACTTCATGCTGGGCTTGGTTTCATCCGTGGTTTTCGCACTTGGATTGGATGCAGCCCATTTTCCTACTTTACAGGCTTTCATAGAGTTTGGCCTCTAGTGCGTTTTATAGCGTCTACAGCTAGATTTTTCTGGCTCTTGAACGCAGACAGTCCCAAACGGTTTAAATGGAATCGACAATTCCATTTTTTGAAGACTTCCGGGGACAATATAGGACCAACCGAGTTCCCGCTTTATCAATGAATGAACGACGACGGTCAATTATTCCTACGAGTCTGACGAAACAAGACTTCGTCGATTTGTAATCCTGAATTGCAGACTATGTGCAGAGAGTTGCCAGCGGGTTCAGGGCAGGGTTCAATGTCCGTTGACTCGTTTTCGGGAACTTTTCTCTAAACATAATGGTTCCTTTTGATCGATTCGCAGGCTCAATTACCTTTTCAATGTCTCTTCCAGCCTGTATAAGCTTTCTATACACGCGTTTGGTTCTTTGTGGGCATTGGAAGGCAAATACTCACGCAGACTTAACGGTCTCGTGCTCCTAACGTTCACTCAATGGGTCTGACGGGTCAACACCGAACGACTCGATCTAGTGACTTTCGGATGCGGCATTCTACAGATGATTACCAGCGGTGGATGCTTCAGACAGGTTTGTGTGCTGGTAGAGGTGGAACCGTCTTCGTTTTACTTCATTTTTTTCGTTTCGTGGATTGGGGTTACAGACTTCCTTCATCAATCGTCCTTCCGTCGCTGTTGTTCCTGATCTGTCGTGCTTAGGTTCCTTCGTGAGTATTAACGTGCTAGATGACGCCTTAGTTATCGGGGTACATTCGGTCATACATGGAGGACCGTGACGTTGTCGTGCCAGTAGAATACGTTTGGGTCGACTCTCAACTAACAGCCTCACACTAAAAGGATATAAGGTCGTGAAGACGGAACGGATGGCGAGTTTAGTTGAGAGCAACGGGAGAAGAGCTGAAGTATATATTCACTTGTCTTAGACGAGCAACAGGCGAGCAAGTATAGACATTAATACAGGTAGAGAAATAAACTAGCAAATAGGGAAATGCGGTATAAACAGACAGGCAGTTAATCCATACAGCATGCATAACTACCACTCATAGGAAAAGGTGCGGAAAGTGATAAGAATATAGTAGTAAAAGTAGTGAGTAGCCAGCTCTAAGACATGGCTCTGCGCTAATAAACGATGGACCAAAAACCGACACCAACACCGACACCGACACCAAAATGTCCTCCCCAAGAATTGAATAAGAATGAGTATACACGATCATAAACTAGTAAAAAACTGACTGGCCTCATTGAGCTCTTCATCGTCGCATGCAAAGTCCCATCCGACGATCCTTGGGTCTTGGCTGGCGCAGATGATCTTCCGGGAATCAAACTGCAACTTGAAGACTCTGGACGTTGGCTGCATATTGACTGGTCGGGTCAGGCGGACTTGGTGGGCTTGGTGAGCTGCGGGTGGAATTGCGTTGACTCTGTGGGCTGCAGACTGATGCCCGTTAACCACAACCGTGGCCGGGCCCGGTTGGGGAGGCGTTTGGTTGCCCGGGGTTCCTGGCTGGTCGTTCGCAGGTTGGTTGTCTTGAGGCTGTGAATTTACCTGGTTCTGCGGCATCCGGGGTGCTTGTTGGCCATTAAAATGGGCAACTAGGGGTTGTGGACGGGGGACCTGGACTACTTGTGTTGGTTGATGATGAATAGCTGGTCGAGAAACCACACTCCGAGCACCGTAACTCTGATGTGTCTGGGAAGCCCTGGCGGCAGCATCCGCTTGGCGAAGCCTTTGGCTAACAACCCAGTTGCCCTCACGATTTTTTTTCCAAATGATAACTGTCTCGTCATACGAGCCTGAGACGATCCTGCCCCATTTGCTCCCACCACCTCCAGGTGGAATCTTGGCACCTATGGCTTTGATATCCTGGGGTCTTCTGGAACCAGCAACATTCTGGTGATATCCAGCACGCCTAAATGCACGTGGACCAAGATCAACGGCTGCACCAGAGCGCTGTGCATCCCGGAATTCGTTGTCAACTGCCAAGGCTTCCAGCCTCAGCGTCTCGTCAGCCCCCGGAGGGTCGCCGAAGCCGGCCTGGACAGTTCTAACTAGGTTGTGATGCCCGTGCAAACAGGCAACTTCTGCGCCCGAGACATGGTCATAAATCCGGACCGTGTCATCGTTACTCCCACTGATAATACGCCGACTGTCGATCTGAACGCAAGCGATGCCTTTTTCATGGCCAAGGAGTGTCTTTTTACAAGCCCCGCTCTTGAGATCCCAGATCTTAATCAAGCGATCCCCAGAGGCCGATACAATCTCATCACCATGCATCTGGATTGCATTTACAGCAGCCTGGTGCCCGTCCAGTGTCATGAGAAGAGAATAAGGCGGTAGAGTTTGAATGCGACCATTTGCGATATCTGTCTCGAGAGTTTCCGGTGTATACTCGCTGGTGTCCACAATGTATTCCGGATACGTAACCCCGGGTCCCTTGTGAAATCTAGGATAGTTCTTATCGGCTGCTGTGAGTTCACGACGGTTCCATATTTTGATGAGTTTATCCTTGGAACAAGTGACCAGGTAACGCTCGTCGAAGCGGAGGTTCAGGACAGAATCAAAGTGGGCCGCCGGAATCTGGTTGATCATTTCGCCAGTCGAAAATCGCCAGATGAAGATATGCATGTCGCTGCTGCCCGATATTATGACGTCTTCAGACGGGCTAGGGTCGAATTGGAGACAGAGAACTGATTTTTCGTGGCCGACAAGGGGAGGGTAGCGTAACCGTTTGGATTCCAGGTCCCAGACGCGAATTGTCCGATCCCGACTCCCACTTACCAACCATTTCCCGACAAACTGAATGGCATAAACACATTCCAAGTGAGACTCTTCTGGGTGCGATGGATGAGGAAGCTGGAAGTTCTTGTAGCGGGCCATATTCCAGTTTTCCTCCAGTCTCCTGCGCTGCTTGTAAAGATGCGGCCAGTTGATCTTAACGGTACCATTGGGTAATTGAACCCAAATGGACGATTTGAAGGGCGAGTATGGGGTTAACGGACGCGGTATAGTTATGCGCTCGTCGTTTTGGACCAGCGATGCATCGTCGCTCATGAGATGGTCCCCATCATTGTCAGCCTCTACGATCGTCGACGACTCTGCGCGCGAATCCAGCCATGATGGGGGAACTCGCTTTTTGAGCTTCGGCTCACCGACGTCGGAGTCTGCATACCTGATACGAGACTTGCGATCCCGGGGCGACGACAGTCCTGACTGTTCTTGTTCTGAGTCCCGGATCGCATCGACGTCCACGCGCCATCCTTCATTGATATATAGCTCTCTCCAAAGACGAGAATCGAATATCCGGCTTCGCCACGTTCGCGAAGCCAGCGACGCAATTAAGAGAGTTTGAGGGTCGAGGTAGGAGAAAATCTCGGATGTTATTTCGGGCGGAAGTTTGACAACAGGGTCTATGTGCAGGAGAGGGTCCAGACGGTCGACTATCTGGGCGATGGTGGAGATGCGCAGGGAGCGTAAGACTCTGTAGGCGAATTCTGGTAGACAATAAAAGTGTCAGTCCAACCCACCCCAAGACAACATGCAACTCAGAGAATAAGCAAACAAGACATACCAGCTCTGTCCTGCTCGCTCTGCGCGAGGATCCAGTCGGGGGGAGGCATCGCATCGTTGGCGAATGGATTTATCTCCTGGTAGGATGGGCTTTTTGCCTCGTCGGAATAGCCCTCATCGAGTTTAAAGGCCCTCGTGGAGGGAGTGGTGAACTGGGGAGGAGCACCGTCGGGCGACGAGGGCCAGAGATAGCTTCCAGGAGGGATTGCGGACTCTTTGTCCATGACCTGGGCGGGTTTTGAAGGTGGTGATTGCGTCTCCTCAGCCATACATAGGGACTAAGAAGGCGAATTTTAAAAATGATGTTCTCGTTGGGTCGTTGGAGGAGTCTGACGCGAATGATCAAGTTGAGGCTTGTTGGTGGTTGATAAGATGAGAACAAGCAAGCGTGACTAATGACAGGTCAGACGTCACTCAGCCAAGGAACCGCTACAGAGACAAGGATACTTTATACTGACAAAAATAGGAAGACAGAAAACAAGAAAATAAAACAAAAAAGAAGAAAGGGAGGAGGAGAAATTATTATTGTCGAAACTGCAGGATTCAAATTATATTGGGCTGCCAAGTGACCAGTCAGACCAGCCGAATTGATATCACTAGTCCTCTATACGAACATTGTGAGTAGAGTAGGAGTAGAAGGAAGAATACATTGTCATTATTGACAGTAGTTTCAATGCCCTTCTCGAGTCTGTCTACAGAGTACTAATTTGAGCAGTGAGTACTCCAACAGCCGAGGCAGTCAACGTATATATAGACTGAGATACTATATAACTTGACGCGCCCTTTGCTCTGTATAAATGCCCAACCAAGCAATCAGATGCTCTGTACCTGCTATCCTGATTCACTGAGGAGCCCCATACAATATTTCGCTAATAATCGAAGAAATTTCTGGATACCTTCGAGTCGCTTCTCCTGACGCTGGGACTATTCTCGAAACGCTGGTCTGCTGTTAGCGGGATGGTTGGCTGTCAGCCCTCCAGAAGTTTTTTTTCGGGCGGCTACAAGAGTAAAGGAGCCCATTAACTGACTCTTTGTCTATCAATCTCTACGAAGACAGCAGAGAGGCAGAGATGGCGAGATTCAGGAGAGCTGTTTATGGCAATGCTACATCTGTAAAATACAGTATGGTATTTGTCATTACATACATAGATACGTACCCCATCTCCATCCCATGGTAGACGCCCCCAGAAGAAGACAAATGATATGGCACTGGCTAATGACAGTATGGAGAGCAGTTACCATTAAGCCAACAGCCTTCCACATCTATGTTCCATAGCCACCAACTATGGAGAGCACTGTCAGGTATGTGTATGTACAAGTAATACGTAAAATACAGACATACAGTATCAGACTAATTCACTCCTAAACACTCCTCTCTTTTCGCTCTCTCTCTTTGTCCATCTTCATTTCTTTCTCCAACTTCTCATCTTCCTCCGTGGTATCTTCTAGCTTCTTTCATTCAGGATAATATCCCTTGACTCTCTTTTTCATCCTTAGGAGAGCTTCTCGACGCTTGCCTGGCTGCAGCGGTCAACCCCACACCCTCACCCGCCCTTTTCCTCGAATCCTCCCTCTCCCTCAGTCACGGCGCTTCTCTTTTTCTCTCTCTCCCTCCCTCCTCCCCAGCCCTCTTTCTCTGGCAGCAAGGGTCGGAGAATTAATTCAAAAACCAGCAATTAGGAAGAAAAAAAAAAAAGAAGAAAGGAAAGAAGGGAGTCGCGACACATTGTCCGAGAACATAAAACAAGAAGACTCCTTGGATCTTAATACACATATTTACTACAGGATTCTATCGAGCCTCGGTCCTTGCGAAAAGCGCGTCTCGAAGACACTCTGTTGTCTATTCTCTAACAGGTACTGTCCGCCCTGAGTCGACCTTTGGAAGCATCTAAAGTCTCCAATCTCCACTTCTCGCATTCTTTGGTTCTGCTCGCTTGCGCCATATCATCCCGCATCGGTCGGCCCACCGGCTCGCCTCTCAGTCAATCTTCCTATCAATCGGCCAACTTCATTCAATAATCCATGCTCGACGTCTTGGGCCTACGTCCGTCCACTCTTTTCCCGTCCTTTCTCGTCCTGTCTGCTGTGCGGATTTTCGTCTAAAATACAATAACTACTATTACTACCACCACCTCCTCCGCCTCCTTCTCTAACTTTCCCCCTCCCCCCCACAGCAATTAAATCCTGGTCGGTGCCCTATTTTACGGTTCTTATTCGATTCCAATCTGGGGGGGAATAATTCAAGATGGTCGAATCTATATCCGCTGGCGCTCCGATCGCCGAAGACAATATTATCAACCGCCGTGGTGGTGAATCCATCTACCAGAGCTGTGTGAATTTGAAGAAACGGTTGGCAGAGGTTCCGAATTTCGAACAACATATGCTGGAGATGGAAGCGAATGACAAGGCGCAAGCAAACACAGACCCCGTGGCTTCGCTATGGAATTGCCTCCGAAATGGCTACCCGCTGCTCACCATCTACAACGCTTCCGTCCCCCAAGAGTATCTCGAAGTCGATCCCGCCAAGGTCCCCGAGGCCAAACGACCCAAAGCTGCTACCTTCAAATTCCTTCAGGCCTCTCTGCAAGAGCTGGCCTTCCCACAACAGGAATGTTTCCTCATCACCGATCTGTATGGCGACAGCACCACCGGTTTCATCAAGGTGATCAGGATGGTCAATCGGGTGTTGGATATACTGGAGATGCAGGGACAACTGAAGCGACCATCAGAGGTATCCAGCGCGCCGGAGAAAGGAGGAATGGGTGTGAAGCTCACCAAGCGGCAACATATTCTCAAGGAACTGTTGGAAACCGAGCGTGATTACGTCCATCATCTCCAGAATCTGCAGGCGTTGAAGAAGGAACTTGAGGAGACCGGTGCTCTCACAGGTGATTCTAGCCATCAAATTTTCCTGAATTTGAACAACCTTTTGGATTTCGCGCAACGATTTCTGATTCGTATGGAACAACACTACGCCTTGCCTGACGATGCGCAGAATTGGGGCGAACTTTTCAAACAGCACAAAGAAGCTTTCCAGCAGTACGAGCCGTTCATCGCCAACCAAATGCGCTGTGACGACCTTTGCGTGAAAGAATGGGACAGGATCCATAACGCACCACGTCCCTTGGACCTGCAACAGATGGTGGCGCAACCATCAACGCTGAACGGTTTCTTTGTCAAGCCTTTCCAGCGGTTAACCAAATACCCTCTGATGCTCACGGTGAGTGTCCTCTTGCTTAACCCACCATTTCAAACGATGAGCGGCCCATGTTGACTCGTCACTTTACAGGAACTGCGCAAGCAAACCGACAATCCGGACCTTCGGGACGATATTACTCAAGCAATCGACGATATTCAAACTGTTCTGGATGCCGCCAATGATGCGATCGACAAAGAGCACCTTGCCACTGCCGTCATGGAACTTGCTGAGCGAGTCGATGACTGGAAGTCCCTCAAAGTAGACTCATTTGGTGAGCTACTCCGGTTCGGTACATTCACGGTCGTCAAAGGCGACACCGGCAAGGATTCAGAGAGAGAGGTTGGTCAATATATATAGATATATTTAAAATGAAGTTGTGCGCAATGCTGACCATGAGAAGTATCACATTTATCTTTTCGAGCGGATTCTCCTGTGTTGCAAGGATATCAATCCAAATAAACAAAAGAAGCTCATTCCAGGAAAAGAAAAAATCGCCTCCACCATTAGGGGGAAACCGCGCCTACAGTTGAAAGGACGTATTTATATGGCCAACGTGACGGATATTGTCTGCATGCGGAGGCCAGGTATGATATTTCAAGTACACTAGCAATTAAACCTGGAGGACTTTTCTGACTGGGCTTTCCATACAGGTGCTTATCGCATTCAGATTTTCTGGAAGGGTGATCCCGGAGTGGTTGATAATTTCTCGATCCGCTACCAAAATGAGGACATGCTGAACAAATGGCACAAGGATATCGACCACCAACGGCTAGTTCAACAACGTAACGCCCGAAGCACAGGTACTTCCGAAACCGAGTTCATGTACATGAAGGGTGTGTCCCAAATGCCAAACCCATACCAGCAAGAATACGATGCAGAAGAGAAAGAGGCTGGATTCTTCTCCGAATTCCCAATGAGCCGGAATGCCTCGAGCACTAGTCTCAGGACACGATCGGCAACAGGAGGAAGTGGCGGCTCCGGTCGACCTACACGATATCCGATCCCCGAAGCAAATCTTTCGGTGCACACCCAGATGTCTGGAAGCAGCATGTCCATGTCGCCAGGAGAGAGGAACATGAATTCCTACTTTTCCCCTGTGGCGGAGACACCATCGACAAGGTCGAGCTCCCAGTCTGCCGGGTTCCCGTATAACCGACAGCCATCGAACAACTGGAACGAACAGGAACCCAATCGATATACGGCGCCGGCGATGTCTCGTGCTACCTCTAGGGATGGCAGCCACATGAATGGATATTTCAATGCCCCGACCACCGATGGACGCGGCACCCAGCGCCCGTCGTTACCACCCATGACTCAGCATGCAGCGAACGGGTTGGCATCCCAAAGGATGCGCTCTGCTAGCAGCCCCGACATTCATAACCACCCCGAACCGCGTCGGTACATTCATACCATGCAGACGGTGGACAACGTACCCGTGCCGCCGATCCCCGCTCACATGGCCAACATGAAGGCACCAGTCAACCGGAGTCAAGCCAACTCACCTACAGGGCAGAACCTTCCAATTCGAAACGCAAACCATTCACCAGCAACTCACTTCCACGAGCCTCAATATTCTGAGTCTCGGGGCAACCCGGCCTCTGACCAACCTACTTCGCCGCTGAGTCAGGAACCCGGCTCGCCACTGATGCCAACCCAACTGAAGGCGAAGGTGAACTTTGACGACAATTACGTGACACTGGTGATCGCGAGTAACATCATGTTCCGTTCATTGACGGATCGGGTGGATGCCAAATTGGCCCGGTTCACGAATCGATCGATTGGTAACAAGACCGTCCGGCTACGGTACCGAGACGAGGATGGAGACTTTGTCACGATCGATAGCGACGAGGCCGTACAATTAGCATTCCAGGAATGGCGGGAGCAGCATCGCGACATGCTCTCCAAAGGTCAGGTGGGAGAGATTCAACTTTACTGTCAAGTGATTGATAATTAGATGATAGAAAAGATCGACTGTTCGAAGGACTATACATTTCCGATCTATACCTTTTTCTTTTTTTAGCCTTTTCTCATTTCTACATTGGAAAGGCGACTTTGATGAACTCTTCTTTTTCTTACATTTCCTTCAATGTTCATGACCATGACTTGCATGACGATGTATGTATACCGATATTTGGTTTGAGCCATTTCTTTTTTCTTATCAAGATGAGATGAGATGCATAGTCTTTTTTTTTTTTTTTTCCTCCTTTTGCATGCGCTAGGCTGGGAGGTCTCGTATTTTGATATGATTTTGTTTAATTGGGTATTCTACCCCCTATTACTTTCATTCCTACCTAGATAGATCTGAACAAAGTCTGTGAAACAATTACTACCATTGAGGGCAGAAAACTACGATGTGGATTGACTACCGGGTAATCGGGAGGTGAGACATTTATGTACTTCTCCTTTTCCTAGAATAAGCAGTCACTAGCATCGCTCAATCAGGGAATATCCTTCGATTTCCCTTTCTACTACCAACGTCAATGCACGCGGCTTGGCATCATGTGATAGGGCTGTAGTCGTTAGTTCTTTCACTCTCCATATTATACCAGCATCTTTATCCATACTAGCAGCCATCTAATATGCACTGAAAGAAAGTACGCCCCGATGGAAGACAATCAAGGCGGTGCCTGCTGAGCCTAAGCCTGAGTTTGAACATGAACCTGAACCTAAGCCATCTGAGTCCCTGATGTCCAAAATACCTATGGAACTCCTTTTCAAATCTATCCTTACCTTAATTTACTGAATCGAACTTTCCTTGCTATGGGTGATAAGGGTCTTTATTAAGCATTAGGATCAGCATTCCAGACAGAAGAACCACGTTTCCCTAGGTTGTGCCTGTCGAAGAAAGGCAAACATACCATCAAGTTCAAGCAGTATGATAAACGGATGAAGCTTCTCAATCAGCTTGAAGATAGCCCCTGGACATGCTGTATTGGATGATAGAAACTGTATACCATAGATGCCCCGAAGATGAAATCTGTATGTGCCTACCCCGAACTAAGTCTTTGGTATTTCATGAACATCGTTTTCAAGAGTTATGATTATGAGACTGGTGTGAATTGTGGTCACTGCTATGTGTTCGACTAGACTGGCGGATCAAAAAAAAAAAAAAGAAAAAGAAATAAGCCAAAATTGAGAGTAGCAATGGTTGTACGGGATTTGGGAGAAACATTTATTCTAAGAGCGCGGGAGAGGATTGTTATGGGGCCTGGCGTCGTCAGGCGAGGCTGAGGGATTATATTGCCGGACAGGCTTACTCTAACTCGATGTGTTGTGAATGCCAGGGTGCCATGTATTAGAATCCATTCCTGGTGGTTACAAGTATTATGCTACTCCAACGAATGAAGAGACTATCTATCGCCCAAGTCATTTGCCAGCGGGTGCTCTTTTTTGTAGCATGTATGTAAATAAACAACTCGGATCCCCCAGCAGACTAGCACATACACTTATCAGCCATTCACTTCCCAGCAACCATTGCTCCATGATTCATCTGGAATACTCTGTATCGAGCATTGTATCCTGAGAGTCAACCATTCGGAACATCCCATTCTTATCGAAGCATATATCAAGTCACATCAGTGGGATAACGTACTTGATTAATCCATTGGTTCATGGCAGAGTGGGTGCATTACACCGAATTTATTGCTACTCATAATATACTGGAAATACCACAATGAATGAATCGACCGGGATACAGCTCAAGTTACCCTGCCTTCCCACGGGCCCCAAAAGACCGAGACTGGGGTATAGAAGGAGCCAACATCCCGAAGCCCTTCCTATGAACCATCAAGGAGATGACGGAAACCTCAGGTGTGCTGGGACAATTCACGAGATTAAAACTGAGCGAAAACTCTTGGTGCTCCTAAGTGATAGAAAGCATGAACAATTTCGTCCACAACCCAGTACCCTCAGCCCATCCCGCCCATCAGAGCATGAGTGTGCGTCAAGGGAGTTAACTTCACCTGATTCTACTTGATCGTCTTGTTCACGGTTTATTATCGTCTCAAGAACAGTCTGTGCTCTGTATTTACTTCGTGACTGTTGATGCTGCGCTCGAGCGTCACCAATCAGCCGACGAGTTTGTGGAAGTCAAGGACAAGGAGAGAGCTATCAAAAGGAAGTTCACGAGACAGTACAACATGCGATATGAAGCCCGCAGCGCAGCGCAATTGACCAAGGCGTTTAGGAAGGCTGGATGTGTACCGATCCGAGAGCTGAGATGTTTGAGATGAGAACTGAATAGTTGAAATAGGCGATCGCTAATACTACTACTATAACACTAAGTATATGAGATGAATGCAAACTTCAACTTGAGCTAAATGGTACCTGACGCGAAGCTCTGAGACCAAAGTTCAAGGCTTACCTGCTTCTCAGACCTCCTTCAGAGCGGTTCCTATTGCTCAGTGAGGCTCTGCGGCTGAGTATGAGAGCGATTTCTACATCCATGAACAATGCCAATTCCTTGTAGATCAGATGAGATGTAGTCAGTATGCAAGGCTAAGACTGCGACTCGTATTCGATAGCAAGGATACCCCTTATTTATTCTAGAAGACTGAGTGAAGCAATCGTGAAACAACTACCATACAGGGCAAAACCGTGTGGCTGTGGATCGACTCGGATAGCATCCGATTGAGTCTAGAATGAGAAAGATAGACGCTGTGAGGCATTTTATGGCATCTCCTTTTCTAAAGAATCGTCAGCTGAGTACTGCTCTGAGTAGTGAAGTAGCAGTGCGCAGTAATAATAGCAGCATAGACGATTAGTCGTGAAGCAATTATAGGGATGTTCTTAGTAGTACTCTGTAGAGTGCGAGAGATCAAGAGACCAGCGGGGATTGTTGGAGACCTTTATAAATAGACCCATTGCTGCTTCCCCAACGGCTGTCATTCTTTTACTTATTTTTTTCTCCCTTCATTCTCATAATTATCTCTCTTCTACACGAAATACCCAATTTTCTCCTGATATTTGGGACACCTGCGTGCTACTGTACCTTTTTTGTACTACTCCACTTGACATCTGAGCCAAGAATTCTGCATTCTTATCGATCGAGATGTCTTTCTCCGGCCGCCGCCTGAGTATTCTGTCCCCCTCCAACCGCCGTTTCTCTGCGGGAAAGGACCTTTCTTTGAATGGTGAGCCTCTTCTGGATATTGTTCGAGCTATATTAGTACGATTCCTGAACCTGTACGCTAACCAACTGCCAGAACTCCGCTCTGAAACTCATCGTCAATTCCGTGCTGCCCACGAAGGTCACCGTCCCCATGCCGGTCTCGATGCCTCCCGTGCCTCCACCGGCGTTGTCTGGTGTACAGAACGCGCGACCGAACACGGCTATGCCGAGGACCCTTCTAGCTGGGCCAACCTAGGCCAGGGCGCTCCTGAAGCCGACGATGAGATCGAGGGCAGTTTCCCTCGTCCCACCTCCATCCCCATCACGTCTGCCTCGCGCGAATACGGCCCGACCGCGGGTATCAAGCCCCTCCGTGCTGCAGTGGCCCGCATGTACAACGAGCATTATCGCCAGGGAAAGCCTAGTCAGTACACTTGGGAGAATGTTTGTATCGTGCCTGGTGGACGGGCGGGGCTGATTCGGATTGCGGCCATCCTGGGCAATTCGTACCTGTCGTTTCCCATTCCGGATTACTCGGCATACTCGGAGATGTTGACGCTTTTCAAGAACGTAAGCGCGCGCGACAGCTGGGAATTGAGGTGTGCTTGCTAACTATTGAGGATGTAGATCGCTCCTATTCCTATTCCCTTGGCCGAAGAAGACCACTATCACATTCACCCCGACAAAATCGCCGAGGAAATTGCTCGTGGTACATCGGTGCTTCTCACGTCTAACCCCCGCAATCCTACCGGACATTTTGTGTCCAATGAAGAGCTGGCCAAGATCCAGGACATCTGCAGAGATCGCGCTACGCTGATCCTGGATGAATTCTATGGTGGTTACAACTACACTACTGACTGCGATGGATCGACTATCAGTGGTGCTGCTAACGTGGAGGACGTCGACCAAGATGGTTTGTCTCTTCCCTTTTTCAATTGCTTGTAAATGAGCGCTAACTCAATGCAGACGTGCTTCTGATTGACGGTCTTACCAAGCGTTTCCGTCTCCCCGGATGGCGTATTGCGTGGGTGGTTGGTCCTAAGGAATTCGTCAATGCTCTGGGCTCCGCTGGTTCGTACCTGGATGGTGGTGCCAACGTTCCCTTCCAGGAGGCCGCCATCCCCATGATGGAACCCTCGCTCGTGCACGCAGAGATGAAGGCCCTTCAGCAGCACTTCCGTGAGAAGCGCGACTATGTCTTGAAGCGTCTGCATGACATCGGATTCCGCGTTCGCGACGTTCCTCAAGCCACCTTTTACATCTGGCTCGATCTCACTTCTCTCGACCCCCCTCTGCCCGCGGAGGCCAACATCTCGGACGGCCTGAACTTCTTCAATGCGCTGCTATATGAGAAGGTCATTGTTGTCCCTGGTATCTTCTTCGACCTGAACCCAGCCAAGCGTCGTGACCTGTTCGATAGTCCTTGCCACCACTTTGTTCGTTTGAGTTACGGGCCCAAGATGGATGTGTTGGAGAAGGGTCTGGATGGTATTGAGCGGGTCGTTCGTCGCGCTCGGGGAGAGCCTGTTGATGAGGAGGCTGTTGCAGATGAGTAATTTAGCGTGTAATAAGATAGACATATTAGATAGCAATCATGGGACTATTACTTTGTTTAATTGTGTCTTACATGATCACGTGACGTTCCAGACCATATCGCCCTTCCCCTTATGGTTCCGTTCTTTTCACTCCTCAACCACCACCGAAGCAAGCAACAAACCCGCTTGGAGGACACCCAAATTCAGCAACCGCAAAATGGGACACCAACCGAAATCATGAAACCCAAACTCTCCCGCATCCTCCATCTAACCGCCTTCACCTTCCTATCCATCGTTCTCTTCTGCCTAATCCTGCTCACCCCCTCCGACGCAATCTACCAATGCTACATCACGCAACGCCTAATCAACATCTTCTTTATCGCCGGCGCCTACATTGTGACCTTCCTCCTGGCCGTGCTCATCTACGCGACTCGCATATATACAAACCGCAGCGTGTTAACGGGGATCCCCAAGGCATGGATACCAGTTGAAAAGGAGGATGTCGGGGGTAGTGTGAGGAGACTCGTCATGGAAGGATTAGCACGGAGCGCAGTTATCGCATACCAGGCTAGACCCAGGGACGTCGCCGCGGAGGAACAAACCCAGACGCAGAGGCAGAGCCAGCAAGTACAAGCGCAGCAAGAGCAGGGACTCGTTGTGAATCGTGACCGGCCGCCATGGGGAAATATCGAGCATCCGGGGTGGTCGTCGCCCGAGTCGCGGGATTTGCCTGATCTGCCCTATCGAACTGTTATTCAGGAACTGCCGCATTTGATCGAGGCGAAGGCTGTTTCGCTTGCGCCGCCGGATCCGGTGTTTACGGCTACGAGTTATAATCCCCAGGGAGGGGGGCTAGAACAGGAGCAGGCGGTTCCGGATACGCGGGTGGTGGAGGTTTTACAGCGACAGGCGTCGATGGGGGTGAGGGAGTATATACAGCGGTTAACTGTGATGGAGGTTATACGGCCGCCGGAGGTTGGGGCGGAGTTTGTTGTACTGTATGAGCGGGCGCGGTTCTCGGCGCATGAGCTGTTTGAGAGTGAATTCCGGGAATTGATGCATGTGTTCGCAGAGGTGTTGAGGGGGATGAAGGGGCTTGGGCCGGAGAAGATTATGAAGTTGGAGGCGGATTATTTTGACGGCAGTGGGAGTGACGAGGGCAGTATCATGACCTCTAGTGGTTCGCTTATTGGGCCTTCTGATGAAGAAGGGGAGACGGATACGATGGATTACTCCCAGGACGATGGCAGTCTGCGGCTGCGACATTCGTCGTCTGGGTACGGGTCCTCCTCGCGCGAGGATTACTATTCTAACTATGCTACGCCGCGAAGTCGCATGTCTGCTGCCCCTTTTCCTAATCGGGCTTGGTATGAGCATCCTTCATCTCGGAGAATGTTGGCACCGCGGACACCGTCGATGCAGTCGCTGCGTCGAGTTCGGTCGAATGTTTCGGGGAGTTCAGGAGGGAGTGTGATTCGGTTGGCGGATCGGGGGGATATACCCTATACTTTTGATAGTAATGTATAATTGATCAATCCGGAACTTCCAGAATATTTGTACGGAGTACAAATAGATGTAAATCAAGCCGGGGAAAGCTTCCCTTTCTTGCTGGAACCACCCGGATGAAGGCTCTCCGGCACACGGGCCAATCGGATTGCGCAACACAGCGAACGAGCGCCGACAACTCGGAACGGGGAATGTTTGTGTGGCTCTTGGCAACGCATGCATTACACAACCAGTGATTGATAAGATCTTGACCGTCACTCCTATTCTTCACCATCCCCAACACCACCACCAATACCCTCATTAGTAGTTCTCACTGGACGTCAAGATGACAGCAACAATGCAATCGCTGTTCAAAAAAGGCGCCTCTCTTTTCACCCCGTCTTCCACACCCCCCATCTGCAGCGCCGCAACCTCTACCGACAATCTCCCCGTATCCTCGACAGAGGACTTTCGCACCGCCCCTTCGCACGATCGTCTGTTTCAGAAGGTCGATCCGGCCGTCGACGGCGAGGAATGTCTACACGACTGTTCGAGTTGCACGGTGCGGTATCCGTCGAAGTTTGACGTGGACATGAAGGACAAAATGTATGGGAATATAGGAGGGTGGGCGACGCATTTGCTCGTGGCGACAGGGAAGACGGATTGGGTGAGAGACGTGGCAGATGAGAAGGGGAGTTTGATGGAAGCAATTGAGAGGGGCGGGGTTGAGCCGAGTAATGGGGTAACCATTGTCCCAGAATGACTGTTTGGAGTTGAGAATGCTGACGATGTAGAAACTCAAATTGTTGGCTTCGAATATACCGGTGCCGGATGAGTATTATTACCATGAGCCTGGGGAACAGCCGACGAATGTGCTGCTTCTGCCCAGCTTCAGCATCATCGACCATGTCACCCCCGCATTGGCACCGGATCTGATCAAATATTTCGTCAGCTCGGCGATCACCACGACTTCGCCACTAAAGACGTCAAAGAATGAAACAAGTAGCGACTGCGAAGAAGCAGACGACGACCAACAACGACAACCAGGCCAAGAACAGGAGCAAGAACAGCAAGAAACCCCCGACATAAATACCCTCACACCCCTCCGCTCGCGCCCGTCCCCCCATGCCGCCGTCATTCTTCTCTGCTCACAGCGTACTCGCGACGTCCGCTGCGGACAATCTGCCCCGCTTCTGCGCAAGGAATTCGAACGTCATCTCCGCCCGCTAGGCCTCTACCGCGAACTCGACGACGAACGACCCGGCGGCGTGGGGATATACTTTGTCAGCCACGTCGGGGGTCATAAGTACGCAGCGAACGTTATCGTATACCGACGAAAGAACTTCGACTGTTACAAGACGTATGACAGACATGACTGCGACCTGGCTCAAGAGGAAGACGAAGAAGACAGAGACAGCGAAGGGGCATCACAGGGGATCTGGCTCGCGCGAGTCCGCCCCGAAGATTGCGAGAACATCATCCGGTACACGGTGCTGCAGGGGAAAGTAGTCAAACCGGGACATCAACTGCGCGGTGGATTTGATCGCGAAAAAGGGTTAATTAGTTGGTAGTCCCTGTTCCTGCTGGCCCCTGTTCGAAGTCATGGGCGTGGACAGGCTGCCCCTGGTACGAAGGCAAAAGAAGAAAAAAACAAAAACAAGAGGACACGGGAGATAGAAAGGAAGGCAAGAAGGGAAAGGGGGAATTGGAATTGGAATAGGATGCATAATTGCTTTTGATAATTCATTCTTCGTGGCATTGGGAAGGTTGGTTTGCGATGATTGCTTTTTCGGCTTGGAATTACGTGGGATTTGATTGGTAAGGGTTTTATTTCGGGCATAGCATGCATTTGTTTACTGTATCATACTACCAGCAGACTACACTAGATTAATTTGGGTATAGAAATCTGTCGTACAGAGGACATCACATCTGTATAAGGACACAGTAGAAGTCACGAGAAATGATCCAGAGCATATACGAAGTACCCAGATGCAAGCACAGTCGCGGAATCGGAGTAATTCCCATTCTCCACGGAACCAGAGATTCTGATATTCGCTGAACATGGAGACCGGCGACGGATACTAGCCTCCATTCCAGATGGGGCGATAATCCTGAGAACCTATCAGGGATGATAATACCAAATACCGTACAAGTATCCGGACACATAGGAGAGTACAATACAAGTACACGAAAAATCGGATACAGGTATGTATGTAAATACAAATAAATCCTCCCACACCAAAACCAAATCAAACCATATTCATCCTCTCACGGAATTGAATATGCAGCATGATGTCTTCGCTCCGGGTTTACTAATGCTAAGATAGCGATAATCCAACCCGACCCTAACCAAAAGTAAATTTTACTGCTGGGTTGCTGCACGCTGATGTCAGTTTATCATTCGTGTGTCTGTTTGTCTGGGTGAGTGATTATGTATGCGCCGTAGTTGCGTCGCAGTAGTCTGTCGCAATCAATTTAATAGCCGTGACCCGAGGGGAAAATGGAATGGAATGGAGGAGGGGAGGGGTGGGTGAGGAATCGGAACTCTTTTCCAGTCTATCGCCTCGCCTTAAAGAAGACAGCGAATAATAACTAGTGACGTACTGTATATCCGATTTCTGACAGGGATTGGGGCGCCTCTTTAATTTAGACGACTTTTCGCCTCTGACTGACCTGACCTTTTGACTGACTAACTGCGCCACAAGTACCCGGTGAGTCTCACCACTCGTTCTCATATGTAATAGCAACTGCTACAAGGAATAGTGAGGGAACAACCCCGCTTGAAGGGGGCCTGTTAGAAGCCGCGGAACTGCTGGGCGTTGCAGGGATCTTGGATATGACAGCCCGAGGATTTTCGCCCAATTTGATTACATGTTTCCCGTTTGAGGTATGCGGACGAAGTATCATCTTCATCGACTGCGGCAAGACACTGGGAAGGATTCAGAATTCATTCATGTTGAATATTGGTTATTCTTCGGAAATAGGGAATATTTCACACTAACACCACAGGAAAAGAAGGAGAAAAAAAAAAAAAACAGAGGCTTATATCAAAAAT